CTAATCCCTAATCCCTAATCCCTATCCCTAATCCCTAACCCTAAGGCCTAAGGCCTATTGGTGTGATTGAGAAGGGAGAGTTTTATTTTGAAGCCAAACTTTGATCGGGTTGACTGGAGGGGGAGGGGGGCGGGAGGATTGCGGGATTGTGGGATTGGGATTGGGATTGGGAGCGGGATTTACTGCTTTTCAGTGTATGGCATGTAGGTCCACAGGTCGTACTTACTCTGCAAGAAAACGGTGCAGTTGAGGTGTGATATATCACCAAGCTGTCTTTGACGTAATATCACTCATCAACCACACACACACACAGTTGTCTGGCTTTTTTCTTGCAGTGAATTGGGGGGCAATCTGATTGATGGTCATCTGCCATTGGAACCACTGCAATGATGCTTTGACTGCAGAAGCTTAATCTTTTGCTCATCCAAACGGTCTGATCTCTTGATCATTTCCATCTGCAAGTTCCTTGTGGGATGAAATCCAGGCTTGGCCGTCCTTGTTGGAATAATTAAGGCCAAGAAGACATATCTGGATTTGATATCTCATGTGAAACTAGAGATGGCTTCATGTACCCGTTGGCAGGAATTCTGGTGGGTGTTGGCTTGGCAGGTTGTATCTGCGGGGGTATGGTCTTGCAAGCGCCTCTGGGCACAAATCCAAGTCCCGCTTGACCGATAGCCACCGGGGGTTTGATTTGTGCCCAGAGGGCTTGATCATGCGGGTTGTGCGGGGGGTGGGACTTGGCACTCAGCCAAGTCCCGCTGGGCCGATTTCAAGCCCTGGGCACATAGGATCATCGACTCGTCGACCCAGCTTGGACAACACGCCACCACCTCTCTCTTTTTGGTGAGTTTTTTTTGCTTTTTTCTTCTTTACTTGCAAAAGTACTGATTGCTATTGCTTTGCCTACAACCGCTCGTTGATCGCGGTTGACTGGGTCTGCAACAAACTGCGACCTCGGATGGTAAACAACATTCAACTTTGACCCCGGACGGTAAACAGCGACCCGAGCAGTGGCTGTTGGCTTGCCGAGCTGCTTCCCTTCGACTCATTGATCGTCCCACGAGCTTGCCGATCACAGTTGACCGACTTCCCGAGATCGCCAATCGCAGTTGACCGACGCTTTTGTTGGATGGTGAACGACAATCTCCCGCAGCGGCCGTTACTTTACTGAGCTGCTTCCCTCCTCCTCATTGATCACGGTACACGTCTTATTTTTCTTCTTTATTCTATTTTATCGTATTTCATTTTTTTTCTTTGATTCTAATTCTATTTTGTTTCTGTTAATTTTAACACAGATGTCCGAATCAAACATCATGGACCCAGATGACTTGGATATTGAATGCGATAAGCAACGAGCTCGAGACCTTGCCGAGGAGCTGCGAGTGTTGAACCAACGAACATTTCAAAGAGAAAGGGTTCAAAAAGCAAAAGAGAAGATAAACCAAAAACGAACTTACAAGAACGATCGCCTCACGCACAAGGAGCGCAAACCGAATGCGATCATCAAGCCTGAGGTTCGAAATTTAATCCGAGAAAATGTCGTTGGAAATGGAATGAAGATTTCTGATGCCATGCAGGCATATAAGGTCTCCCGACGTCAGATCCAGCGCATCAAGGCTGAAGATCCCAACCTCGTCAAGACGCATAAAAAACGCCCATCGAAATTCACAGATGAGATGAAGACTGAGCTGCTTTTTGAGCTTGACGCAAAATCGACCACAACCTTGGCCGAAATGGCGAAATTCCTCGACGAACAATTTAGCCTTAAGGTTTCGACTCAGGCAATTAGTAACCTGATCCATGATATGGATATATCATGGAAACAGGTTACTAATATCCCTGCTTCCTGGAATAAGCCGGGCTTGATTGAGCAGCGGGCAAACTTTGTAAACCGTCGTGGTTTGGATCTTGGGCGCAAGATTACTTTTGTCGATGAATCAGGATTTGATCTTCACTCTGGCCGAGCGCATGGATACTCTCCCTCTGGTTAGATTTTTTTGTTTGTTTTTGTTTTCTGTTTTCTGTTTTTGACTGATGCTTTGATTTTTTTCTTTGGTTGCAATTAAGGTCAACCTGCGGTCCTGAGCCTTGTGCCCAAGGCCAAGCAGGTGACTTTGATAGGGGCCCTCTCGGAAGAAGGCTTTGTTTACCACGAGTTGCTTAACGCCGACAATACTAAGGCAAAAGGGGTTGGTTCGGATGAATTCTGCTTGTTCCTTGGTAGCCTTGGCGCCCGGTTACCTCAGGAATCGATCATCATCATGGACAATGCACCAATCCACCAAGGCGACCGCTTCGAGGAGGTGAAAAAATCACTTGATGACTCCAAGTCGATCAAGATTGAATTTCTCCCTCCATACTCACCCTTCCTCAATCCAATCGAGTACAGCTTCCACTCAATCAAATCCTACGTCCGATCGAAGGAGCCGCCCAATCGAGCAACATTAGTAACAGAAATCAAAAAAGGGATCGACGAAGTGATTACCCCGGAAAAGTCTCAAATTTTTTTTTCTCATTGTCAGCGACTTTATCGTCCCTGTGCTGAGTTCCAAGAGATCACTGGCCCAGTCTTGTCTGCACCCTCTGAATAGGGTTTTTTCTCTCAAATCATAATCAACACATGTCGATTACATTATCCCCTACGCATGCCTCTTACCTGATCGTGATTTTTTATTATTATTATTATCATTATTGTTGTTCAATGACATCTATATGTTATACAAGCTCTAATCCATACAACACACCCCCCATGATAATGTACATGTGTTTTTGTTTTTGTTTTGGACAGTCATTTATTGCTTTAACAAGAGTGCCGATCACATTTGAACGACTTCCGCCTTGGACGGAGACTGCTAGAGATGACATCATTCGACAATCGGATCAAAAAAGAAAGAGAGGAAAAAAAGGGAACAAACCAAAAAAGAAATCGAAGCTGAACAAAGGATCAATCTAATTGCATTGATGGGGTGGAAGGTCGATGCACCCCTTGAGTTATGGGGTGCATCGACTTTTGGGTGGCGTGGCACCCTCGCTTGATTTCGGCCAAGCGAGGCTTCATGCCAACCCCCGCCAAGTTTGACATGTGCCAAGCGGGGGTTGGGAGGGTGCCACGCGGGCTTTAAAATCGGCCAAGCGTGCTTTAACATCGGCCCAGCGCGCTTCGCCTGTTTTTCGCCCAACTTGGGCCTGTGCCCAGACGCACTTGCAATACCATATGTCAGGTATACCTGACCTGCTGGCAGGCCTGGGTGGTCGGGTGTCAGGTGCGGCTGCAGGTGTCCAAAATCAGTGGAATTTCAGGCAGGTGCCTGTCATCTCTAAGTGAAACCCCATTCAACCCAACCAACCAATCTTGCTTTTCTTTTCTTTTCAGCTTGACAATCACAAACAAAGACAAGCAACCAAAACTGGCCAGTTGACATACAGACATCCCCCAACAAAGCTCAATGCAGCACAAACACACAACTGATTATGTTTGCACTATAATTTTGGTGGGATCACCTTGGGGGGGGATGCAGACCAGAAGATGATCCAATGTATGGATGAACACATCAACCGCATACTTTGGCTTGGATCATAAACTTATGGATGTTTCATCCCTCACAAACCCCACAAAAAGTTCCCTTTGTTTCATTTCTTTTGAGGCCTGACCATCCAGACCCCTCCCCCAAGGTTGTGCACAGTATGCAACTGTATCTAACCCAACTGTAATTGGTGGGTCCCCTGTCCCTCCGGGAACCTCTGAAGGAGGGCCTTATCCATCAAGCCAACCTCTCTCCCTGATCAAATTTGGAATCTGACATGTTTTAATGACATATTGTGTGGTGTGATTACACTTTGAGAGCATGTACTAGTCCCCCAATATGTGCTCATGTACTATCCCTCATTGATCAACCCCCCCCCCCCCCCTGTTGCCACCCAAGCACAATTCTCCCTTCACTGAACCAACCAAGGCTTTAAAGACACCTGTTATACCCAAGTCATACATCCTGGTTCCTGTAAGGATTTACAAAAATTTGGTATAAAAAAACATCAAGCCCATATAATACTAAAAGTTGTATCAAATCAATGAGGTTGAATTGAACAGCTGTGGACTGCTCTCTCCAACATCTCCCAAACCACACTCATCAATCAGACCAATGGGAGGGGGAGAAGACCAACCTGGAAAACCAGCCTTAAGGGGAAAAAAGATAGAGAGATTTTTTTTTGGATTTGTCTTGCTGTAATTACAACGGTGGGCCGCTACACTAACCGTAGCGGTTAGTGTAGCGTAACACAGCGGAATTCCCGTTAGCGTTAAGCGTAGCGTAGCGGAATTCCGCCACGACACCGCTAACGCTACGCGTGTGGGCCACAAAAAAGGGCCCACTACGCTGCGCTACAGCCGTTTTTAGCAGTTTTTAGCCGCTTTTTCCGCTAAAAGCGCTGTAGCGCAGCGTAGCATAGCAAAAATGCGCTACAAAAGCGCTAACACTACAAAAATTTGGCGCAAAAAAAGCGCCGCTACGCTACACTTTTTGGGCCAAAAGCGTAGCGGCCCACCGCTGGTAATTAGTCATGTATTGTGGCTACACAGTTGCAGTTTGGAGTTTCATAGTAGCTGTCAAGCTTGATTAGGTGGCCCCCAATAATATTTATCCTCCTCCTATTCCATCCTTTTTGGTTTTTTTGGTATTGTTGTACATGATACATATACCCTGCAAGAGTTTGAAAAAAAAGAGAAAAAACTATGAATAGTCAAACACTTCTCTTTTTCTTCTTCCTTCTTTCTTTCTTTCCTTCCTTCCTTCCTTCCTTCCTTCATTTTTTTCTTTTTAACATTCTAACTCTTTCAGAGACCCGGGTCAGAATTCTAGGTCCACAAGGGGGGGGGGGGGGGGGAGCTTGTTGAAAAAAGAAAAAAAAAAAAAATGGAGGTCTCCTTGGTATATTTGCTAGTCAACACTGAGGACACCATTACAAGGTTTAGATACATCCAATAACCGGCAAAAAGGAATGGGCCTCATCGGGAATTGAACCCGAGACCTCTCCCAATCAGTTGTCCTTGGAGACACCCAAAGGGAGAATCATACGACTAGACCATAAGGCCGATGATGTCACCTTCCAATTATCCGATTCCGTCCACGATCGACTCGATCTACACAAGTATACTTCCCTTTTCTTTGACTTTTGGTCTGGAATTAAGCTGGCAACAGTAATGAAAAAAAAGGAAGAAGCGTTTCTTGGTTAACTGTTTTTTTTTTTTTTTCAAACGAAAAGCTATCTCTGCCCTTCCCCCCCTGCTCTCTCCTCTTGTAAAACACACTAAAGAAAATGAATACTAAAACAACAACAACAAAAGGGGGGCATTAAATGGAGCAAGTGATGAGGGGACCGACAGGCTAGGGTATCTAAATCTGCTTGTTTATATATATAAATATGAGAGGGTATATGAAATATGGGAATAAGTCGAGGGTAGTTTGTAAGAGAAATATGTATCGAGTTGTATGCCAAACCAAACAGAGAGAGAGATCAGATAAGTAAGATAGGCAATGTGATATCCGATCAATCAGTTTTAAACGTCACTTTCTTTTTACGAGAGGGGGTAATAGAGGTGGAAGAGGAGGAGTTCTGAGGAGGAGGGGAGGATTTGAGGATGGAAATGGAGTCGGCAGGAGCAGTAGAAGACCAAGAATGGTGCGGACGTTTAGGAGGAGAAGTGAGAGCGGCGGAGGAAGCAGGAGAAAGAGAAGAAGAGACGGCCGGGTCGTCGTCGTCTTCGCCGTCAGAAGACGAAGGATGGTGGGGTAGATGACGATGGCGGGCGGATGAGGAGGGCTGCGAAAAGAGCTTCTGGTGGACCGCAGAGGTGTACCGAGTCTGGTTCGGCTCCAGCGCACTCGAGAGCTCGGTTTCTCTCTTGGAACTCATCCAATCTCCTTCTTCTTCTTCTTCTGGCATTGTTAGATCATCCGCCTCGGGCGGCGGCCTGGATTTGTTAGATCCTGCTTGGTTTTTTTTGTCTCTTTTTTCTTGTTGGGGGATTTCTTCGGGACGTCGGTGGGGGTGGGGGGAAGGAGTGTGGCTAGCCAAGTCATCGGTTTCCGGCCGCTTCGCCAGACCCCTATCCGACGACCTTAGCATCCCCGATTTCCGCGTCTTCTTATTCTCCTTGGGATTGTGCTTCTTGTCTGCGGTGTGTGAATGGTGCAAGGGGAACAACCAATTGCCGATCCGCAGATGCGTCGAGCTGCCCACCATCCCGATCATCACCCCCAGCCCAATCGCCGAGAGCAGGAAGAGAATCACCGGCTTCAGTTTCTTCAGGATCGTCTTGCTGAGGTTGAGCGGTTGTGTGATCAGCATCCAGAAAACTAATCTGATCGGATACGTCATCGGACTAACACACACATACCAAAAAAATCATGTCAGTTTTTTTTTTTTTTTTTTTTTGCAGTCATCATTAATTAGGACTGGAAAGGGAGGGAGAAAAAGAGCAAAAAAAAAGAAAAACTGACAACAAGATTTCGTCCCAAAACCAAACCATAAGATGTGTCAGAAAGCCGAATAAAGCGGCAACAGAGGCATAAAAGATGCGAAAGGAGTACGAGAAGATGGACTTGACGAGGATGAAAGAGAGGTTCCAGATGGGGTTTCTGGTCGTGAAGAGGACGAAGAGGGAGCGGAAGAATTTCTGGAGAGAGGCGGCGAAGAAGAGGGTTTTTTTCTTGGGTTTAGCGGATGGTAGAGGACGAGAGGACGATTGGAGATGGCCGAGTGGGTCGGCAGAGGCGGAGGAGAAGTTGATGAGGGTCTGCTTGGAGCTGGAGGAGTGTCCATCAAGTCGGCCTCGTTCGTTCTGACTCGACGAGGAGGAGGAGGAAGAGTGATTCAGCTCGTCTGCGGGCTCGAGTTGCTCTTGCTCCTGGAGCGTTTTCTGCTGCTGTTGGTCGAGCGATGGCTCTTGAGTCTGCTCCTCCATCCTCGTTGTTGCTGTTGTGGTTGTCAGTCGTCTTCCGCCAGCTTGGTCCTTGATCTCAGTCTCGCTCGAGTAGCTGTTTCCAGTCGTTAGTACAAGGAGGATCAAGAAGAAGAAGAAGCAGATGTGGATGCGGTTCATCGTCGGTTGTTGGTTGGTTTGTTGGTTGATGGGTTGTTGTTTGGTTTGTTGATGGTTTTTTCTGTTCTTTGCTCGGTTGCTGGTCAGTCAACTTTAGATATGTATGACTCAACTCCTCCTCTCCTGTCTTCTATCAGGAGACTGACAACCCAACCCAACCCAAATAGGAGCATCATCTTCATCCCCAATCATCTTCATCAGACATGCACACAAGGCTAAATTAGCTTGGCCTCTAAATATTGCCGTTTTCCTTTGACAAACCCTGGATGAAGAGTGTTGAACCATTGTAATATGGCAACAAAATGAAACAACTATTGAAGATGTAATGTTTCAGCTATTTTTAAGGTGTTTCTGATCATAAATTTACAATTTTTTTGTGAGGTGCAGTAGGTTCAGAGACCAATAAATTGGAAAAACTCAAAAAATTCCTAAAATGTTGCTCATAAACACCTTAAAAATCACTCTAAAGTTCATTCGTGAACCCCCCTACTGAAGAACAAGCTTGGGAATGCAATCATACCACCTTTTCATTTCAAGTTTGGACGCATACTCTCTCAAAGCTGCTGATCCAACAAACCAGAAACATGATCCTTTGTGAAGTCTTGAGCCCTCCAGTTCAACATGGTATGTATAACCATGGCAGGGAAGACCCAGCATCCCAACTCATTGAAAAATTTGCCCCGATTTCCAAACCAACATGTGAACAGAAAAGTCTTACAAATACATCTGATATCATCTATAATTAGTCCCACAATCTTAAAACAACCAGAAAAAAAGAATTCTTATATACGGCAGCAATGGGCCAGTTATGCTAACAAGAGCATTAGCAAAGCTCAGTGTAGTAGAATTCCAGTAAGAAATAGTGCAGTATTGTGCCACATCTGCACTAACACTAACCCAAAATTTGCCTACTACACTTTGCCAATGCACTGGTTAGAGCATCTCCAGCAAAGCGGGGGTCTCAATGCAACTCCTCCCACTAAAGGAGCTTATTGAGGATGTCATGAAAATTCCCCAAGGGGAAGAGAAATAAAATTGGGCTTTGGGTGACAGAGATGGATCAAGGTCTCAACTGATGTATTTATCATTATGTCTATACTTTGAGAATACCCAGAGGTCCCCTGAGTAGCTCCAATTTTTTCATGGTTATGCTCTGCAAAGAATTCCACGGGCCATAAAGTTGTTTCCAATGAGAAAAGAAGAATTCAATCTAAGCAAGACGGCAATAAAGAGATGTTTCAGGTCAAGCTGATCCAAGAGAGTGAAACTCCAGTTTTGTAATGGAGATACTGACCTACAGGAAGTCCTGGCTCAGTTAGACTCAAAGAGCTCTAGATTTGTAGGGAAGTCTAGCCCTTGGGGCTCTGAAGCAGTTCAAAAGGGCTTTCAGTTATTCACAGAAAACTCTTCACTATGTCTTGTTGCAATAAAATACATAATCCTGTGTCTCACCATGTCAAGAAAATGTATATGTCAACTCTATTCTAGATAGAATCTTTTTGATAAGCAGCAATGTTCACACAAATTGGGTGCTGCTGCTTTACTGTTAGGTATCAAAACTCTCTCAAGAACAAAATCTCTTCAACTTTGAGCTTTGGTTGTTTTTCCTTTGATTCACACCAAGAGAGTTTTGTGTAGGTATGTAAAAGCAGTAGAAAGCCCTTGTAGAACACATCACATTCAGGTCACACTATTCCATAAAATTGAACAACATAAAAGTTGCAATGATGACTCTTTCATTGGTGTTGAGTTTTCACCTCTCTGGCTACATAGCTTGTTTTTTGTGTCCTGAATTCATTTCTGAAGTCAATGAAACTTCTTATTCTTGTCAACAACTATTGTCTCCCTGAAGTTGCTTTTTTTCTGTTGCCTGAATTCATTTCTGAAGTCAATGAAACTTCTTGATCTTGTCAAAAACTCATGTCTCTCTGAAGTTTCTTCCTTTTTCTAATTGGGGCTGTTCATAAACTCTTCTACATTTGTGGTGGTATGTTTGTTTTCTCATGATTAATTTTGCTAGCTTGTCTAAAAGAGACTGAGAAGACTTGTCCAGCTATTTCTTCCATGAACTCACTCATTTCTTCCTCTCAGATTTTATTCAAACTCACTCTTTATTCATTTTCATTTCTACCACATTTTGCTCACTTGTACTTAGTCTATCTGAACCTGGCTTGTTACTTGCAAATGAAAACTCATTGGTTCTTTACACTCTTTTTCCGTGAACCCTTCCCAAAAACAAGATCCTCTTTTTTTGGCCCTTCACCTCTTACGCTCTTTGGTTTAAAATTTCAACAATTGGAAAGCTCTACCAGAGGCATTTTAAAATAGAAATAACCAATTTTGAAATGAGGTAAAAAAATCAATTCTGTTGATGTCAAATTAAAATCAGAATTGTACTCTGAAAACAGGAATCAATGATGATGCTATTTCCAAAAGTGGGCCAATACCTTAATGGGTATTGATGAAGCATCATAAAGTAATGAAGAATCATTAATTTTTGATATCAAAATCTTGCTTTTTTCAATAAAAATAACATTGGGGTCTCAAAAAAATGCCCTTGGTAGCAGCTGATACAGGCTGTATTTTGTTGATACAGCCTTTATTGGGCTGTAATGCATTGTCAAGGACTCAAGTGTCAAAAATGTGATAAGTTTTTGGTAAAAATAACAAAAGAAGAAGAAAGAATTAGGTTGATGTGCTACACAAAAGGGCCAAAATATTGCATTGTAATGCATTGGCCCACCATTGCTATTCCACACAGCACTCGAGGACCTCCAATTGCCCAGATGGCTTGACTTGAAGGGACTGGATAAACTTTGTTTGCTGGTAAAATCTCAAGGACAAATTATTTTCACCAGCAAATAAGCTTTGGCCCTTCCTTCTAAATTAACATATTTAGATGACAGGAAGTCATCCATGGAGCCTCACTGGCAAGGATGAAACAGATACAGTATCTGCCATGTATCTTTCATTTATCACTCCTTTGATCTGAACCCCAATGAAAAAATTATCTGACCAATGTGCTGGTATTTGCAAGGAGATGCAACTATTGAGTTTCTGGCCATGCAGCTTTGCAGAACTCTCTATGATACACACAGAGTATTGTATCTGTTACATCCTTTCTGGAGGACTTCCTGTCACCATTTAGAGTGCTTTTTAACCGCCCCCCAGTCCTAAATTAACATCCCAGTCATAATTCCAACCAGCTCACATGGAAGCTATCTTCACAAGGCTTGTGAAAAAAAATATTTTATTACAAAAATTAAGATCTAATGGGAAGTCATCCACTCATTGGACAAATTCATTTTGCCTAGATTGCTTGATTGAGAAGAGGGTCCTAAATCTTATTGACTGGTGAGAACTCAATCTCAATCAGTTTTCACCTGCAAACAATGTTCAGGACTTCTTTCTAAATTGACACATTTAGATGATGAGAAGTCCTCCCTTATGCATAATTAGCTAAAAAAAGATAGGAATCCCTGATTTTTGGGCAAAACCCAACATTTTTGAAAGATTTCCCTTTTTCTGGATACTTTAGCCAAGGCATATTTCCTCTTGAAAATGGTGCTGATTGGCCAAAAATTCTCAATTCACTGGGGGGGTTCCATTTAGGATGAAAGTGGGTCGGGTCAACCCGCAAGTGACCCACAACCCATTGGGTCTGGGGGTGGGTTTGGGTTGACTTGAGGTGAAAAAAAATAACGACCCAACCTGTGTGCAACCCGCTTCATTACCAGGTTGGGTTTGGGCAGTGTCTTTTGAATTTGAGTCGGCCTGAAAACCCAACTATTGAGCGCATCTCCATCGCAGTCCTTATATTTGGGTCCCTATTGGGTGAAAATACGGACTTGGAAATGCAAATAGGGAATTGAAGACTTGTTCTGCCACACCGGGCAGTCTGTAAATTGAAGTGATCTTCCATCATTGGTGCAGTGTTGAGAGGATGTTACATGAGGTTGTGGTTCGATGTTGTGTGACATTAAGATGAGGTGTGCTGTGAGTGCACAATCCCTGGATCCAGGGTCTGGAGAGGGACTGAGGATGAAATCCGTAAAATACAGACACGGATGGGGACCGCGGTGGGAGTTGATTTTCGGTCTCCGGTCCCTAAATGTGGGATAGGGACCCAATTTAGGGACGGCGGTGGAGATGCTCTGACCCACTGTGGAACTCCTATCGTGCCAGGCGGTAGGCAGTTGGTTGAAGGGATGGTGCTTTGAGGGCTGACTTCAAGTGGGGTCTGGATGAGTGAGCTTTTATCTGAACAAAACATGTTAGGGTTGGTTGGTTTTCTGAGAGGGGAAAACAGAAATCAATTTCTGTGGTGGTTGTTGAGTTTGAGTGAACTGGAGGATCAGTGTGTATGAGGATCAGATGAATCAAGAAGAAGATCAATAAAATTTGATGGGTCTATCTTGGATCAGATCAGAGTGCCATGCTTCCCCATCATCTCAGTTCAAACTGAACTTTGACTCTGGGGAGTGACATGTCACAGACATTTCATCACATCCCTAACTACAACACAACTCAACCAAAAAACAAAAACAAGACCACCCTACACAACACAATACAACACAACACAACACAACACAACACAACACAACACAACACAACACAACACAGAATAGAACAAGACAGAACAGAACAAAACAAAATAAAATAAAATAATCAAGAGTGAAAAAAACCAACATACTAAGATGTCTTAGGACCAAGAAAATTAAACAAGACTGTCTACTGAGTAGGTGATTTGAGAAAGATAATAAAGAATGATAAAATGATAAAATGAAAATAAAAATAATATGAAGATCAAATAATCAGAGGAAATGGAATAATAAAAGGAAACAAAACATAGCAAAACAATATAATGAAGGAAACTGTTGGACTGAGAGGGGATTTGAGGCAATAATCTTGAGATCTTGAGGCTTGATGATATTGAAAAGGTGAAACTGGAAATTTGAAATTTGACCTTGAGGGAGCCTGTACCTTTTAGAACACCACACCGCTTGAGGGCAGTCCGGTCTGTGGGTCTGCTTCAGCCGACCCGCGCAGCCTTCAGGATCCTGGGAGTGACTGGATTCTGGAATTCAATCGGTCATCAACAGCAACTGTGCTACATACGTTTGATTGGTAATCAACTGTGCTACAACCAACACCTACACAACAAGGGCTGAAGGACACTTTGATTGATCATTGCAGAATTTTATGGCTGATCAAAGTTCAAACCCGCGAGCAACTCTATTGGAAAAAAATAAAATACACAATAAGTGTAAGAGCTGTGAATGCTGTTCACTGGTGCTCTTAGAGATCAGTCAGAACAATGCCTTTTGCCTTGGAGAGAACTTCTAGTACCGCAGTCAATTTAATTACTAGCATTGGTAGGAGGAAGAACTCTCCGTAAGTACAACTAGGATTCTGAGAACAGGGAAGAGAAGAATGGAGAAAGAAGAGATGGAAGACTTACCTAGCATTGGTAGGAGGAAGAACTCCACCAAGCTAGGAAGGGGAAGGGGGAGTCAAGACTAAATACAAGGCAGAGCTATTCTTATGTAATCTTGTGACAGGTTTGTGTAAGCCTGTGAGGAGTAGGGCTTACAATAAGTTACAAAAATTAGTCTTTTTCTATTTTTATTGCTTAGACATGTAAATATGCTCTGAAAAATTGTTCCAAGCCTGACCCAACTAGAGATGTTGCTTGATACCCAGGTACCTGTAGCAGGTGCGGGTACCTGCCTCAAAAATCCATTATTTTTGACACCCACACCCGCACCTGCTAGGGCTGCCATGGCGGGTGCCCGGGTACCTGCGCCGGGTACCTGCGGGTACCTGGCACATTTTTGCAGGCAGATATATACCCAGAAATCTCACCCTTGAATTTCTGCATGACTTGGTAAATATAAGATTGATATTCACTAGATATATGAGTAAGAATAAAATAAAAATAACGAAATAATGAAAAACAAATTATTCTATCACCAATTTGAATTTTATCTTCTCTCTGATCTATCTTTAGCTTTACCCTTTTGCTTGGCCTCATTTTCTTTCTTCAATTTCCATTGATACAATACCCCACCATTCTTGGAGTAAGATGACACAGCCATACCTTTAGTGACTGATGAGTGGCTGAGTCGGTGCCTCCTGAGGGAAACATATTCCCTTCCAAAGCTGAAAGATCGCTTGACACCCACCATTGTTGCTGTGGTAGATTTAAGGGAATTAGGACATCCTGTTGGATCTGGGGCCCTTCCAGTCACTGATTTTTTAGACCCTCAAAGTCTATAGTTTTGCAGGCAAATCTAGCTTGATTATTTCCAGGCTCTGAAATCAAAACTGGGGAGGGGGGGGGGTTGATGGGAAGGCATCCACTGACTTGACATTCAGGTTGCTCATCAGTTTTTTATTCACTATCGAACTATAAAACACTTCCCATCTCACTCTACATATGTTGTCTTGTAGGTCAAGAGCCATGTTTTGAGTTCAATTTATGGTCTATGATCCAGTCATTCAAGTATATTAACCAGAGAACTTGTTGTACTGTCTCTTTTTGATTTGTGATTTGAAGAGCTTTGTGTAGATGGAGTGACAACTTTGTATGTACGCGCTCTGATATTTACATAATTCACAATTTCCCAGAAGAAGAAAAAGTGTTGATAATTGGTCAGAATGAGTCTCCAATATACAAACCACACACAAGCATGTACAGAGATGAAATTTTTGAGTCAATTTCCTAAAAACCAAAGTTGATTAAAGAATGAAGAGCTACTGCTAGGTAACTAAAAAAATTCAGCAAGAATCACTGGATTTTGTTTCACAAGAGTTTATCAATTTCTAATGGTCTATGTTTCTGGGGTTTATAAGCCTTAGGGTACAGGTTCAAGTAAAAGAGTTTCCTGAAGAACGTGGCACATTTTTTCCTAAAATTAGTCCAGTAAGCGGTCGAAGAAGAAGAAGAATTGAGAGGATAAGGATGAAGACAGCGGGGACAGTTGACAACGTCGAATTTGGGGTGTGAGGTGCACCGGAGTTGCTTCTGATGATGAAAGTGTTCTTCCAAGCAAGAGCTATGGAAATGGTGATTGCAAGTTGGCAGGATCGCCACTTGGCCGGCCTTCTTCTGTCCATCCCTGTAGAGCTTGTACTTGTGCAGACAGACCTGGCACGCCGCTCAGTCTCCGTCTGCGGGCTGCTGCTCCTTCCGGCTCATTGGCCATTGTGCTTTCATAAACGTGTCAACTGTCTTCAATCAAGCCACCCCACCCCAAAAAAAACAAAGAAACTTGGACAGCTTAGTCTTCCCTTCCGGATCCGGACATGTCAAAGGCTGTTCAGGCGCCGGATCTGTCAATCACCAACTTACCTTCACTCTCCCATTGGTAGACTTTTTGGGACTAAAGTCTGTCATGTAATCTACCTTTGGGATCTCATTGGCCTCCTTCAAGTTTTGAGTACTGGCTGGTGTTTCTGAGTCAGAGGCTTGTTGGCTGTCATCCGATTCAAATCCGTCGTCTACTTTGATTACAGTTTTTTTTAGGATTGCCGCTGGGATGCTGGAAACAGAAGAGGTTCTGGATCCAGGACTCAGGAGGCTTTGGCCGCTTTGTGGTGCTCCCCATGGTGGTGTGGTTGGGTGAGATAGTGACAAGAGGAGAGGATCAGAGAGGAGGAGTCGAGTCAATTGAGAACTGAAAAGTTAAAAAAGATCAAGGGAAGTAGTTTCCCAGGGCGGGTATAAGGCGGGTACCTGCTTCGGGTACCCACCGTTTTTTTGTCCCAAAAGTCGACACCCGCACGCATTGGCAGGTACCCGCTTTGGAAAACAGGTACCCGCAAACGGGTACCGGGTACCTGCTGACATCTCTAAATCAACTACATAGAAATCTTGCACTGGTTGTTAATCCACACCACCATACATATATTAATGAAAAAAAAACTTCAAACAAGAACTAGACAACATCATTATTGATTGGCTACAGCTTGTTCCTCTTCTTCTTTTTTAAACTTGGGCAATTGTTGATGACCATGTCAACAGTGGTGGGCTGCTACGCTACACTACGCTACCGGCCCATGTAGCGTTAGCATAGCGGCACCAATTTGTTTTATTTGTGTAGTGTTAGCACACCGCTACTGCCGCTGTGCCACGCTAACACTAGCCATTTTTTGGTGTAGTGTTAGCGCGCCTCTGGTGCCGCTACGCTGCGTTACGCTACGCTACAGTGTTTTTAGCGGCAAAAAACACCTAAAAACCGCTAAAAATTGCTGTAACACAGTCTAGCGGGCAGTTTTTTGAGCCCTGTGCGCGTAGCGTTAGCGCAGATGGGGGGGAATTGAGCTAACGCTACGCTAAACATTAGAGCAATTTTTTGCCCCATGCGCATAGCGTTAGCGCAGAAATTGAAAAAAGTGCTAACGCTATGCAATTTTTTGCTACACTACACTACGCTAACGCTAAGGTTAGCGTAGCTGGCCCACCGTTGATTTCAAGCAGGTCCCAACAGCACTCCTGGTACTGGTCAACCAAACCAAACAAGCTATGCACACAGAAGCACTCCCAATACTTTCTTTCATTGACCAACATCATCGTCCTCCTCAAATACTTTCTCCCTGCTGTGTCAAACCCCAGAATCAAGTTCTTTGTCTTTGAGTCCTTGTCATTTGATTGTCCCGCCTTTGACACACCTGAGACCTTGACCCACTTGAGAGTTGTCTGATATACGCCTGGAGAAGTGACCCCAACCATCTTCAACATTGCGTACATCAATCTCATGTACCGTTCCATTAACAAGGGTGAGACGTTTCTGAGGAACTCACTGTGTTTGTTGATATCCTTCATGATTCTAACAATTTCCTTCAGTGCCAAAGATCCTGATCTCTCCAATTTCTCTTTCATGCTCAGCATCTCTTCTTCTGTGCCCAAACTCTCTCCAGAAAACTCAGAAACTGGCTCAGTGGTTCTGACAAGGGTCGGGCATGTGCAAAATTTAGGTCCGCAAGTCTCATCAAAGAATTCAACTGGTGAATTGTGCTCCGCGGGTAGGGCAGTCTGAACCCGGGCATGAAAAGACGCGGCTGGACAGCCAGAATGAGGATCCTGTTTGGGGGGAGAGGGAGAGGCTTTTTGAGATAAGTTGGTTCTGGTTTTATCAATCTGTGATTTCTTTGGCCCGGCAGCTTGGCTTATGATATTGATATCGTGATGACTGACTGCATGCATGGACATCGAATGGCTGAAAATCTCAAGATCAGAAGCATCCTCTGAGTCCACCAACTCCTCAGCATTGTAGCTTTTGCATCTGATTTGTCAGCTCCGGTCTTTTATGTGACCAGGAGTTGATAGGGTTTTTAGGTCACACTATAGCCAAGAGGGCCAGTGGAAATAAAGTCCAACTCAACACTGTTACAGTGGAGGGACTGGCTCCTTATAATAATAAGGGACAAAAGTGGAATGAGATTCACTGTGCCTGAGCTTTTACGAGAGTAAGAAGAATAGAGTTTGTACTAGTCTTATAAGTTAATAAGGTAACTTATAAGGACTAGTAATGAGATAAAGAGAAAGGTACAACAGGTTTTGTAGATAAGATATTACTAAAAAAACCCACTCACTAAGTATATGTTTTAGTAAGGTTGTTGGGTTGGTATGGTAATATTGTCTGGGGGATGAATCTCAGGGGGAGAGCCATCCTCTTAAATATGACAGAGCAGGGGTCAAACTGCTTCTGGGACCGGTGCAGTCCCCTTGTTAGTACACTTTTCCTTGCGGGAAAGTTTCAGGATATTCAGAGCATGCTAAATGTACATGTGCTGAATATCCTTTATTTCAGAAAATACACATAAGAGAGATAAACAGAATATACATTCACACAAGAGAGATAAACAGGATAATCATCTCTTGGATACACACAAGAGATAATTATCCTTTGCAATTTGATTATTATTTTCATGAGAGAGGTACATTAATTATCCAGAGAGAGAGATAAATATGTACAGAGGTAAATCATTATTAATTTAAAGAATACATATAATAATATTTATTATTATGTAGCCTGGAGGGGTTACAATCTCTTGTAGACACATGGACTAGTGTCTCAGTGTCTGACATGATTGGTGGGCAAGTGATGATGGGTAAGCAATGATGGAGCTCAGCCCTAAGGCTATGATTGTGGCGCCAATGCCAGACCACTCAAAAGGAATTAGTTTTGATGTGATGTAAAACTGAAAACTGGGCCTTGCATCCAAATCGGGTATATTGATGATTTTCCTTGGGTAATAATTTGATTTCAGGGGTATCCATAGGGTTGCCACTGCATGGACACTGGTAGTCTAGTTTAAAGAAAAACTCTGCATGGTGTCCATTGCCATTTGAGTTTCTGGATATTCCACATGATTGGTGCCATCATTGCTTTTGCAAATTCCTGGGCCTTGAAAAGGGAGTGGCCTGGAATGGTGAACAGGTGCAGGTGGTTTGGGAATGATGGAGTGCTTCTGTTAACATTCCCAGCTGATCTGAGGACATGGGTAGCTAGAAGGCCCCCTTTCAGGACAGGGATCCTTGTGGGTGGAGCTGGGATAACAGTGGATATATCTCAAACTAGCGGGTAATCTGGAATGACAGGGTTGAGGTTGACTGATGCCATAGTCTATAGAGAATGAATGACCTCAAAAGTTGGAGGAGAATTGAAGGATAGGTGCATGAGTACCAAGAATAAAGTAAAGCTATGCCAAAAAACAAACCCACAAGATTTGAGAATGTTCTGAGGAACACAATGAAGGTAAGGTGAGTAGGAATTAATTTAATGTTCAGAAGATTTTGAGCAAGGGAGTAACAAAAAATTTATTGGGGTAGAGGCCAAATTAGGCTCCAGTCCTGAGTTGAAAGCGAAGTTGGGTCAGATGAGAAGAAAGGTAAACTGGAGAAAGTGCAAAATTGATAGATAAAGAAGGTTGGTTGATCAAAGCCTGCTGAAGCTTGCAAGGTGGACACAACGCTGGGCCAGCTACGCTAACGGCAGTGTTAGCCTAGCGTAGTGTAGCGCAAATACGCTACATTGTAGCGTAGTGTTAGCGCAGATTTCTGTATCTGCGCTAACGCTACGCGTGTGGGCCGCAAAAAAGGGCCCACTACGCTGCGCTACAGCACATTTTAGCGGTTTTTTGGCCGTTTTTGCCGCTAAAAGCGCTGTAGCGCAGCGTAGCGTAGCGTAGTGGCACTAACAGCGCGCTAACACTACAGGTTTGGCACGCTGTTCTGAGGGCCGCTACGCTAACGTTAGTGGGCCATTTAGCGTAGTGTAGCGTAGCGGCCCACCGTTGGTGGACAGAGTGTTTTTGGGGAAATCCATCTTCTTATCAAAGCTTTGTACTTGTTCAAAATTGCCACTTGGGCTCATCATCACCGGTGCACAGAGGAAGGAGACCATCCAGAAGTGTGAATGTTTTCCTGGGTCTGTTTTTGGCATATTTTACTTTGGAATAAGCCTGGGGGTTGTCGATATTTCCACAGAGCTGAACAGATCCACCCTAATCTGTCCCAGATCAGATATCGCGCCAACAATTCTTCTTCCAATAATAAACCACCGAGCTTCATCAGTCCCAGCTTTCAGGGGGCAAGATAGACCCTGGGTGGCCTATGAGGCATTTGTTCTGCTTGATTGATCATGGCCATCCGTCTCGTGGGTTTCAAGCGGGAAGTCTTTCCCAATATCAGTCCCAATTTGCCACTGGTTTGTCTAGATAATCTCTCCTTCTTGTCCAATGTAGCCAGTTCTCTTTACAAGTTGTTCACCATTCCGGCTTCCCGCCCTTCACGATCATTATCGGCATCACTCTCCCTCCAACGCAATCTGGCGCTTGGTCATGAGACCAAGATAGATCGTCTGAAAAGGGAGTCACTTCATTGAGTCATTATAGAGCCATGTATCATGGCCGGATGGCCGATCGATCCGATTTGGATGCGAGTTTGACTTGCACATTTCGGGAGCAGAAGTCCAGCTTCGGCCCTCGATCACCTCTGCTGGAGGAGACTGCAAGTGCGGTTATCTGCGCGCACAGAGAAGGACGCCATTCGCGATTCCGTGGCCACTCCTCTAGGCTCTGATTTGGACATGCGGACAGCCATCAGGCTCGTGTCCCTCAATCGACCGCAGATTGACTCTCTATTTAATCACACTCAAGAATGTAGGATTCCTTTGTTTCCTCCATCACACCATCTAATCTCTAACACACTTCCCATCGAGCAACCTTGTATCACTTTTAAAGACCGCCTCAATAATAACTTCTTACCTTTCCCTCAAGCAAACATGAAGATCGTCATGTTCATTGCCGCGTTGTCCGTCGCCAGCGGTACGTGTCGAGTTCTTTTCTTCCCTTGGGCTGGACCCAATGAGTTTTGACTGACGATGTGTGTATCTTTGATCGCGTTTGCAGGAGTGTTCGCTGCGCCTTCTCAAGCCGAGGCCAATGTCGGGTAAGTTCACTTACCTCCTTTCCGCTCTCCACCTACCCCATAAAGCGTTAACATAATATCATTCTTTTGGTATGTTTTTTAGCGCCGCCAAGGATGCCAAGAATGACGCCAAGGCCTTCTACCCCGGCTACCCCGGACCCGGCCCATTCTATCCCGGTGCAGCCTACCCAAGCCCCTACAACGCTCCTGGGCCTTATTACTACGGCGGCTACCCGCCCACCTACTACACCTACCAGTACCCGGCGTACACCTACCAATACAGTATGTTTCCCTGTCTTGGATTACCTATTGCTTGGTGTGATCCCTAACTGTGTGGCTCTTGCTTCAGCCTACCCGATTCCTCCCACCCAAGGCCCGACCGGACCCATCGCGGCTTCAACCGTGCCGCTCAAGGCCCCTAACGCCCCACCCAGACATTGATTTATAGACTCTCTTTCAATGCCTTAGTCTTCATGGTCACAAGCCAATGACCCCAATGTCCTTTATTCTCACGCTCCATTTAATGTCATATTTTTCTACCACTAGTCAATCAAAGCCATGCTTTTACCGTACATGTCGAGCTTGCTAACGTGTCGAGTGGGCAGCTTGCGCATATCAATTATCATCATGGTGTAGTGATCGTTGGCAGCCATCGCGGTGACAACAATTGATTGAGTCTTCCTTGCGCCCCTTTCAACACGCCCACCTGCCCTCAGCATCAATTGCTTGCATCGCACTGCTTAACTCCCAGCCGGATGGATCGGTAGTGTAGTGCTGCCTAGCTTTGGTTACTACAACTCTAGTGCCTTTAATTTTATTTATGGGGAACAAAACCCCGTTGGTTTTATTAAATACCATGGGCTGGCAGGATCCAGATCTGATGTGCACTGTAGCATCATCACCTTATGCCACAAGTAATTAGCTCCACGTTGCATTCAGCTCATCGTGGGCAATGAGGATTAATGGCCATGCGCTAGAGTGGCCCACACCTACATATATCTTTGCCGGAATGCACCATTGTCCTTGCTAGCAATAGATAATCCTCAACAGCATCTCTTCACACCAAGCGGTATAATTCGCTAGGTTAGCTTGTCATGGATGAGCCATACTCTCAAGCCGACCGCAGGGAACCTTCTATCACCACTATTGCGTCAACATCCTCCTCGTCCCTCAATTTACTTCAGCACACATGACACCCTGCTACCAGGTTTCAGGCCTTCTGTCTTCCCTAAAATGTCAGAGGACCCTTGTACGCCTGATCAGATGTTCTGGTGTTCCGCACATTCTTGATTTCCTTGCAACTGTCATCAATTTCGTAATTTGAGGTATGCATAAAACACTAAAGAAGAAAGATGGCCGAATCGTTCAGATGTTACATTTTGTGCTGACTGGAAAGCCAACAGGGTAAGACGAGCGGAGAGAGAGGGGGAGAAATAGGAATTTTCCGATAGAATAAAGCAGCATGTTCAGTTTCTGATAGATTGAGAAAATTTCTATATCTGAGAGTTTTTACATTGTAATCTTGGTTTCGAGATCTCATCTGTTGCTGGTAGTACAATTATCTGCCTTTTGAGGATCTGATCATCGCCTGAGATTCAGAATTCATCCTTGGGTGAAAAGAAGTGGGAATACGTGACGACTTGATGGTTTTGGAAGGACGTTGTTAGTTTGTCGATCGGTAGCAATTGAGCCCAAAGAGGACACAGTAGTACCATGATGAGCTTGACGTGAAAAGTTCTATAAAAGCTACCCAATCTCACTCAACTTGTCCCATAGACTAAAGCGCCGCCTGCCATGCTCATGTAACATGCTGATTGGTTGATGAGATTTCTGAATGAGTACAGTACAAAACCAAAAATCGTCAGAGACAGATTGACCAAAACGTGAACAGAACAGGGTTTCTTCCCAGAGGATGATCGAGTATTAAACGCACGAATGAGCCAGGACGAGGGGCAGCGCAACACCGGTAGTCAATAGGACGCTGGTGAAGAAATCGGCGGTTTCTTTAGGGATCGACGAGTAATCGATCGACAGTTCGTAGTCTGCTCCACCACAGTAACTCGAAGCTATCATGTTCGGTATGGGAGCTGTGAAAAACGTCAATGCTGTGCATTGTACATGTGACCATCAAGTCGAGTCTTCCATCAGTTCTTGTTCAATTTTTTTTCTTGTGAGGTATCTTTGAAGTTATTATCCTTGATATTGGTTTGATTCGTTTTTTACTAACCGACTAGTAATGGTAGCCATTCTCCCCACAGCGCACAGCTTAGGATGACGAGAAGAAACCCGAGGGCGAGGATGATTGATAGGAAGATGATGGCTAGTTGATGGCCAAGTTTTGATGTTTGATTTTCCCGGTTTGGTGTTGGTTTACGAAATCGCCGCCGATCGAAAGCGAATGCACAAGTAGAAAACGTAGTGTAAATTGTTGATGGATTTGATCATCAGTACTTTTTCGGATATCCCTGATCGTAAACGTTTGAAAAGAAAAGAACGAATGAATCAATTCACTTTTGAATCCAGGTTGAAGCATTGGTCCGTCGGAATGGGCGTTCTGAAAGTTGGAGGTGGTAATATCCTGGAGCGATGGCCGGTGAACGACGACGAGGTGTGGTTGAAAGCAGGTGGATGTGATGGTTGAGGTGAGCACAGCAGAGCGCTGGCTGAGCCGCTGAGGGGGGGTTGAACGGGCCTGGGCTTCAACAGCTGGACCCGAAAGTTTCCACCCTATTTGACAATCCAGTTGATCCACAAATCACAGTCCACAACCACCCATCATGGATCCTGGCACGGTGTACAGAAGGGTCTCGACTGAGATCATCAAACAGATCAGCGGATTCTCCTCCTGCGATGTGAGTGCACAAGCTGACCACCTCCAGCGATAATGAGGCCCTGCATCGATAACTGATGACACAGTTTATTCGGTCTGCTTGGGGATACAAGATTGCAGATGCCTTGATCAAGTTGAAGCATCCTAGTGGCGGTTATTTACCTGACATCAACCTCCAAACGGGAAACCATCAAGATCCAGCTTCCAATAAGTTATGCGGCGAAGCTTTCACGGTCGAAGTACGGATTCATGTTCTTGCGAAGACTTACCACAATATAGCCGGTACTCACATGATTCTAATTTTTTGGTTTAAAAATCGTTGAGCGGACATGAAGATGGTCCCAGCTACAGATACTGAATCTCCACGACCAACACAACACTATGTGAGTGATCCATTGAAGCTGCATAAAATTCTTGTGACATGATCTCGAAGCTAAGAGGACTGAATCCCTACAGGTTGACGCTGGAGAGATGGACACAGTCATGGTCATCTCCAGTCCAGCAAGTGAGTGATTCTCATGCAGAAGAAAGGAGTTCATCAAACTGAACTTGGCAGACCAATCGAGAGACCAACCTCTGATCTTTAATCTTTTTCTTTTGGAATCAAGACTCAAAGAGTGCCGTATGGGGAGGCTTGATGACCGCAAGGGCCAAGGTCAAGGGCGTCAAAGGTGTTGTGATTGATGGTCGTTGTCGGGATCTAGCAGAACACAGAGCGGCTGATTACCTGGTAAGAAACTTCTCTTTTTTTTTTCTATCACAACAATTAAATAATGTTTATCTGATCCCAGAAATTTAGGTCTTTGCTAGAGGGCATTCAGTTTTGGGACAATCGACTTTCACCCGTCCTTCCAGAATCCAAGTTCCTATTACGATCCATCCAGTTGCTGACAGTTTTGGGAGCTCCAACATGAACAAGCAGATCATGTTTCCACCGACCACTGTCAATCCATACGACATCATAGTAGGAGATGAAGATGGGGTGGTGGTCATTCCACATGCAGAGATTGAAGAAGTCATCAAACTTTGCACCAAAAATACCCAAGTTGATCAAAAATGTTTAGAACATCTGAAGGCTGGTCATACTATTGCCGATACATTCTCCCAATTTCGTGGCAAGTGACTTTCCTCAAAGAAACCACTTTACCAGATATAACTTCTACAAGAGATGCAGAGTTGAGATCCAATGATTGTTTGAGGTTCTAGCTGTAATTTATTGAATACATTGGTCTGAACCTGGGCGGATGTCAGGTGCAACTTTAGCCCAATTTTGGCCAACCTGGTCCCAAGATCAGTTGATTTCTGGTGCAATCCAGCTGTAAGTCTTGCATAACTTGGCCTTACACCTTGATCATATCAAGTCCTATGCTTTTTGAAATTGTATTTATACTTGCGCTAGTAGCAACAAGAGTTCTCTTGTATGCTCAGAACACAACCTTAACCCAGGCAAGTTTTTCTAGCACTCACATGCAGGTTTTATCATAAATAATATTAGAGAAATCATCAAGCTTCTTTCTGGAGTTCTGCCAAAAATTTATGCTGAATTGATGTTTCATGTAGCTAATTTCCAGTTGAAATGCACTGGTATGAAATTGAAACCACTGGGGACTTGATATGTTGATAGAAATATTTGCTCTGAAAATGATTTCCCACTTGATGAAAACCAATTTTCATCAAAAGGTTTGAGTGGAAGAGTTCATCTTTTGAGATCACGTTGATATTTTCCCTGAAAATTCCAAAAGAGGTTTCTGTTTAAGATCACAAATAAATTAAAAATGATCAAAATGAACATTGAAGGTTTTTTCACTTAAAAACCCTAAATATCCCCAAACTTTCATTCTTTTCCTTTTATTACTCCAGAAATAAATGCCCAATTATCCCAGGTCCTGGATTTATAATTATTTCAACTTATTTTTCAAGTTATAATTTAAAAAGAAAGGTTTGCAATACTCCATGTTTCAATTTGTTAAAATTCAAAGCTTGATCTCAATCAGAACTGTGATGTGTATTCAAATAATGTGTGACTTTTTTTTTGGACCAAGTTTGAACTTTATCTTCCTGATTTCTATCAATTTGACTCACAATGGAATATATTTTTTCAAAAAATGTGTAATTCTGGTTTTTCTCGGGCACAAAATGTGATAAAATTCATCATTGGGTATGAAAAAACACACACACCTCAAGGAAACTCACACTCACACCCACACTGCTGTTTTGAAGGGTTCTATTAGACACAAAAATTCTCTTTTTTTGTTGTTCACACACCCCTTTTCAAGCAAAAGAAAGTGAAATCTGGTTTTGTTATATGTATTTTGGTTCTTTTTGTAAGCCTTATCAGAGGTGGAAAACACTCACTTGAGAACTGGTACCCCTGCGTGTTTGATGAGTTCATTGTGGAGAGAGCTTACTTCCAATCAGTTGATTACAGTTTTTGAGAGGAAGCCCATCCAAGAGTTTTTTTTCATAATCATTGGGAGGGAAAACTCCAAATATGTGGTTTGTACCTTTTGAGAAAGCTTCCTCCACAAAAGTGACTTCAGTACATACAGTGTCACCAGACTGCATGTGCGTATGTTGTGGTGACACTGTACTTGATCCACGTTTCAGGAGGAATCCCTCTCAAGAAATCTTGTTGGGAGGAGGCTCTCCAAATAATTATAAATCACTTGTTGGGAGGGCTTCATCCCCATGAATTGTTTTTTGCTTTTTGGGAGGGCAATCTCCCAAAGATTCAATCTATTCTTTAAAATTCTGTCACCATACTGTACGCACGTATGTTTTGGTGACATTGTGGTTCAACTTTTCTCAAAGAAGCCCTTCAAAAGACACCATTGAAAGGAAGTCCTCCTCAGAATTATAGACTAATTTTTGGTACTGCATCCATCTACAAAGTGATCAAGGAGAGTATCCATAAGGACGAGGGAATCCCCGCAAGTATAAACCACTTTTTGGGAAGGCTTACCCCAAACAAGTGCTTAAGAGACCACTTGTCTGGAGGAATCCCTCTCAAGTGGTTTGAAAAGACCATTTATTGGGAGAGCTTCCTCCGAAAGCGTGGTTAATGAAAAGAGCTCATGGGAAGGATAAATCCCAAAAATTAATTTTACAAACCAGACATCAGGAGCCCTTCATCTTTAGAAGTTGAATCCAAAACCAATACTAGTTTGGAGGAATTCCTCTCAACAGGTAGTTTATACTAATTTCAAGGGCTTCCTCCGATGCGGTATTTTTGATAAAACCATACCCAAGAGGAACAAAAATTATTGAGTGGTTTAATAAATTGCCCTTTGGAAGATTTTGAGCCAATGGGTGGCTTATAACAGTATTTGGTGGGAGGAAGGCCTCCCAGGGACTATGAAAAACTCATTGGGAGGCCTTCCTTGAAAAAAAAATCTTTTATAATGCCACTTTTCAGGAGGAAGGCCTCCTGATGAGGTTTTTATAAAACAACTCATTGGAGCCAGTAGACCTCTTTATATTTATTTGTTAGCTAGAAAAATTTATGCACGATTCAGTGACTTCTAAATTGAAAGAAACCAAGCCCAATTCCCGAGGCTTATAACAGAGCTCAATCTGGCAGGTGTTTGACACAAGTGACTCTTCTGATCTTCAAGCAAAGAATCATTGCATACAATCAACAGTCTAAATTGCACATTCCATGAAAAATTTCTGAAGTATGAATGGCTAGTATACAGAGGTGGTTGACTAGAATTTATTCCAGCTCCAGAAACTGTAGAAAAAAATTTTTGTGGGATTGGTATGGAGACAGCTTTCCTTAGTTCTATGAGCACCAAGATGAGTTTTCTGGGTTTGAAAATACAACATCAAAGCATCACAAAATCTGACACAAATTTCTATTGAGACCAGCTGTCAATGTCTGTTTATGCTACATAGCTGTTTTCATGCTTCTTGCCATCCATTAAACTGAAATAACTGGCCTGGGTGGCCTTAAGGCTCAGAGAAATCACCAGCTCTTTGATAAAGATCATCAAAAATATGAATGAACTTGTTGGAGATCCTGCCCAATGGAATCGGTTCATGTCAGCTCTTTGAGGCATCTATCAGAAAGATTGGAAATGTGTTTCCCTTGAGTTGGAAATACCAATGGTTTTTGAATTTCCAATTTTTAGTGTGTGCATTTGCTATGAGAATAAAATCTCTTTTGGGAAATTAGATGTGTGGTTGTCATGTGTGTTCATTTTTTGGATCAAATCAAGCAGTTTTCTGCAAGTCGATAAAACTTACAGGTTGGTGTTTTGATGAAAATTTACAAAATGGAAAATTGGAGTGAGCACATTGACATATGAAGAAGACTGGAAGTAATTAGAAATAAATTGAAAAAAAAAATGTGAGTTTAAATTGATGATGTGTTTTTTGAATGTGATCTGTATAACCTGAGATGCAGTCACAAGGTTTGGCTGATTATGATCACAATCCATGATCTGGTTTATTTCCCTCAAAACAACAGATATCATTGATCACAAAACAAAGATATTTATTTCTCTAACTCTTGATGGAGTTCGACAAAATCACATTTTGAAAAATGTTAAAGCAATTTATAAGGTACTAGTTATTGAAAAAAAAATTAAAGATTGAGAAGTTGTGCTGATTTGGAGGAAAATCATATTTGTTTGGATTGTTCTATAATAACCTTGACATTTAATGCCTTCCAGGCTGCTTCCAAGTTCTGCAGACTTTGATTATGAAACCTGCTATTACATCCTGATATATTTTCTTAGAAGCTGAATATATTATTTCAATCAAAATTGGATGAAGCAAAAAAATATCTGCAAATATTTTTTTGGCAGTTTAAAACAAGATGAGAGTCATTCATAAGTAATAAATATGATAACAGGATGACTTTGGCAACAGCTGAGGCTTTCTTTTTTTGACCTTGATATCAAACCAAGTTACACATGACATCAGACCGAGACATGACTGTCTGATAAGAACTGACATCACACCAACAGTTATGATGGAGTTGCTGAAGAAAGTTACGTGAAGGCACTTGAATGCAAGTGTCTTGGAACCATCCCTGGTGGATGAACATGGTCGGAAGGCCCTTTTCCTTTGTCTACAATGGCAGCACTGTAGGCGGGCGGGCTTGTTGAGCAAGAGGTGATCTACATAGCCCGAGCTACACACAAGAACAACACATAGAAACAATTGATCATCTGGGTATCCAGCATCTTGGCATCCCAGATATACCAACAGAAGCAATAAGGCACTAAGGGGATATGATGTGAAGATGTGCCAGGATGAAGTTCTATACCATTTTGCTTGCGTTTTCATTGGGAAGAAGCAGAAAACAAGCACACGGCCACATCTCTATGAGGTGACACTACCCAAGGGGTTGTAGCCAATACAACCCCTTTTGCACAGTGTGGTCCAACGTAAGTTAATGTTGGCACGACTAGATTTATTGAGTTGAATCAATCAAGATGATTTGTTTCAAAAGGGGATCAGCAAACACAACAAGTAGAAAACAAGAAGGCAGATAGCAGAAAACAAGAGTGGATCTTAACAAGACAACAACAATGGAGGAGGATGGAGCAAGTGAATGATAAGCAAAAGGGAAAGAAAACACAAGAGAGAGGGATCAAGTTGATTTGTTCACAAAGCAGTCTTTCCAAACGTCTAGGTTTCGAAGTTGATCTAGCGCAGTAATCCTTTCAAATGGAGTGCCGTCTGTGCTCTTTGTTGAGTGGGCGCCGGTGACAGCATCGATCGAGTCTTCATCGAAATGGACAGATGAACCAAAGCCGATCTTGCTTGCACCCACGATATTGATCAACGCGTCATCGACCAACAGATGGTCCGAGAAATCCGCCTGTTCGAGATTTTCGGGGCTCGGTTCTTGGCCTAATGACCTGGCAACCGCTTCCTGGTAATATTCTAATCAAAACCGAAATCTCGGGATCAACAATGGCCACTGGTAGAGCCCAAGTAGGGTATAAAAAAAAAAGGTCGAGTCGGAATAAGAATTGGAAGTACCTTTTTCAGGCTTGCAGTGAAAGTTCAGGTTGGTGTAATCACAGGAGACGACTCCTTCGATCAAATCAGACAGATTCATAATCTTCAGGACTCGTAAAGCATGGGTTTTGTAAGCGTTAGTGATACACCAAACCTATTGATAGATCATAAAACGTTGACCATCAGCTATCAATTGTGCAAAAGAAAGAACCAGAGCTGAGATGAGATAAAAAAAAAATAATGGAGCGCTTTTACTCTGGCTTTTGATCGGTCAATGTCCAACAACAGTTGTCGCAACTTCGGATCCGGCGATAGAATCTCTTCCAATGGGATGGCCAGGTCACAATTCTTGTCGTAATCCAGTGGATCGATTGAATGGTGTCTGATTAATCCTCGAATAGCCAATCCGTATTCCTGATGATTGTTGAGCAATTTTCGATCCAGGATGATCTTAATTAGTACTTTTTTCTGCATTATATTTGGTCTTCCGTTTTTTTGCAAGCGACTCAACTTTATAATATCTGGGGACAATGAATTTTTTTTTTTTTTTTTTTTTTTTTTCGTATTAACAAAAGGAACGAAATCGTAAGCTTTGAGAAAACTTTTGAGAGGCAAATGAAGACGTATGTATGTACCGATGATGTAGCTCTTGAGCCTGCTCTCGAGGCAGCCCCAATTTCAGGAAATACGCCAGGATCTTCTGGCTCATGAACTCGTTAATTTTACAGTGTCGAGAATACAGGGTCTGATATGATATGACCAAGCAACGAACATGCCAAAAAACAAAGACATCAGTAAATTTGCATGAGAGAGAAGAGCACCGTAAAGATCCACAGCCTGATTTGAAAGATTCATTTTTTTTTTTGGGAGACACACGTTATCAATGTCAAACCTACGAAAGTCGCGATCAAAAATGAGGGCTCAGTCAGACGCCCCCAAACATTCAACTTCCGGACTAGAATTAGAAGCGACTTACCATATCGTGAGTTTGGGAGTCCCGCCGGCCGATGGCTTGTTAAGTATAGTCAAGTTGGCTAAATCGCGGTCATCGAAAATTGAAAGACGGACGTTAGTTGTGTTATTAGCATTCTCTATCCCACTGGTTACAATATAAATCGCAAGCTTTTCGTTCAAGGCTGACTTACTTGAAGGGGTAATAGGAAGTCCAGTGGATGAACCCATCGGTTTGATCGTTTGCCGATTGTATGTATAACTCGAAAGGATGTGGTGGACTTTTGCAGTGCGATGTCCAATCGGGGTGGTTCTCTGAGAGTCTTTGTTGGTCTCTTGGCCCGCTTGGCCTCCAATACCATTTTCTACATACTCCGCCATTGCACCGCATAGCCACTGCATCTTATCAACTGCACACTCATCAGCACCGATCAGCGTCCATGCCACAAACAAACCTACAGGGGTCGATCTGAGCTCACGCTTCTTGCTGGAAAAGGTGATCCCCCCTGAGTTTGTTTAACATTGCCCAACTAACACCATCTCAGAGTATGTATCAATGGCAACAGTTCACTTCCAGCTAGCCCGTTGTTCTATAGCGATAGATTCAAGGTGAACTATCCTTACACATCGACTACTGACCTTTATGGACGACTGTTCATGAGTCGATCTCTCGTCGCATTGGCCAGAGTAGTTCTCTCTCATTAAGCTCTGGCATCAAGTCTCATCTTGTCAAGTCAGGGCTCAGTTCAGAAGCCTGGTATGTCGATCAACCCGCCCTTCCGCATTGTATGTATTCTCCCCCTTGAAGCAACTGACCTGTAGATCATGAGACGTTTCTCCGCCACAGCTTCTACGAAGAGACATGCAGCATTGTCCCGGCAAACCCTGTATATATTGCCAAGTCGCGGGTCGCCGATTACCGTCTCCGTGGCGCAATTGGTTAGCGCGTTCGACTGTTATCCATGTTACCCAGTCAGGCTTCCCCTCTCACCAGGGGCCCCGGCTAAGGCGGCACAAAAAATATCGAGAGGTTGGCAGTTCAAGCCTGCCCGGGGACGGCACGCCTTTTTTTCCCTTTTTGTGTGGGTTGCTTCATTTCTTCTGTTTTCCTTACTACAACAACAGGTCGTCCAATCTTTTTCCCGGCTCTTACAAATGTGGTTAACTCGTTATACACGAATAGAGATTTTTACATGAAAAGAAAAACACAAGATTATCATTGAAGTGCAACATTATTACGTATGTACTTTTAGTTAGATATAGCATAGAGGAGGTATATCACATGAAAAAGAAAAAGAAAGATATAGAGAACAACAACACAAATGATAAATAAAGGATATACATACAACACCATCATACAATCATCGTATTTACTGACAACCGATTACATAAAACTCCGATTCATGTAGCCGGTCTACTATTATCCAAGCATCGTCTTGAGACGGGTGATTTCCTTTTGTACAACAACTATCAAGACGGTTTATCCAAGATGGAGACGCAAGTCAAGAGAACAACGAGGAGGATTTTCCCAAGCGAGGGGACCCACGAACAGGGTGTCCGTCTCCTGTTTGGTCTTTCTCACAAAGAGTAAAGAGAGAGAAAAGAGAAGCTTTATAGAAGGAAGAGATGATCAACGGAGAAGGTGGGAGAGAAAGAGATCAGGAAGACAGGGGACTATCGATTTGGACCCAGTCGCGGGCCTCGATCTCATCGAGCAGCTCAGGACAATCTTCCGGGTCGGTGATGGTCGGGGTCTGGAGTGGGTTGTGAGGAATGGGGAGGCCGTCGAGGCGGAGAATGTCGTCGAGCTTTCCTACGGCTTTCAGTTGGTCGTAGAAGTGGGTGAACAGTGCTAATAAAGATAACACAGAGGGATGAACAAAGGAAGATGATGAGCAGGAAGGAAAAAAGAAAAATGAATGGAGTAGGAGAGAGTGGCATGAGGGTAAAGGAAGAAGGGGACGGACCGTTAGTCCAGCCGAAGCCGGGTTCGTTGGTCGGATAGCCGAACTTGAGGTCGACAGACTGGTCGCGTTTGATGCCGTCATACTTCTCCCAGAGCTGGCCGGAGACGATCCAAGACTTGAGGACCATGGAGGCGAAGTTAGCGGCGAGTCTATTGGCGGGGGTATGGAGACCGTATCTGCGGAGGCCGTCGACGGCGAAGAGCTGGAGCGGGGCCCAGACGTACGGCTTGTCCCATTGGTCGCCCACCACGGTTGCCGAAGTCGACAATCCACCAGGGATCTCTAGCGCTTCCAGACCCTTCTCCGCCACCCGTCTCGCTTGCTCTTGATCCGCAAGACCGGTCCATAACGGTAAGAAGCTCGTCCCGAAAACATACTCCCGACGGGCCTGGCTCACATAATCATAATCGAAGTAAAGCCCTCGCTCCTCGTCCCAATTGTATCTCTGTATCAACACCCGACGCTCCCTAGCAAGTCGCAAATACTCCATCCGCCGTCGAACCAAGTCCGTCTCACTCATCCGTCTCCACGGCTTCAACTCTCCATACAGTTCGCTCATCTCCTTCTCCATCAGATACAGTAACGAATTCAAACAGACCGGATTGAAGTCCAGGATCTTCGCATTGAACGGCCCAAATCGTCGCGACGTGTCGAACCCGGACTCCCGCATCGCTCGGTCGTTGTCCATAAACTTCGCCGTCAATTCATCGGTCTCATAGTTATAATATTCCGATATGTCTTTTTATATAAAAAAAAAAAGAGGTGATCATCTGAGTTATTTGTTTTTTTTATCAAGATGGGGTTTGAAAACAGGAGATGAGGAGAAGAAGAGAGCCGCACCATAATCAGGGATCCCATTTGGATAATGATCTCTGAAGAATTTCTTGACGCGATGATAAGCGGAGGCCCCGTTAGAGGGGTCATTTTCGTGGATGATTTCGGGGGGAGAGCTTCCGGGGGGGCCGAAGTCGAAGAAGCGACTGAGGCCGGTGGCGGGAGTGAGATGGGCCCCGGAGGTCCAATAACGATGGTACTTCTCGGCGGCGCGGAGTGCGTTGCGTAGCCAGGCTTGGCGCACACTCCGGCCCACACTCGGCAGGACTCGCTTGATCAGCGGCGTCAGAAACGGCAGTTGGGAGCGCGTCAGATAGTACGTCCGGTTCCCATTCAGAATCGTCCCGTAATGCTCAATCTATGTACACCCCCATCATCTCCCTCAATTCTGCTGGGTATCTTGACTTGCTCTTCTTACAAATGAACTCTCACCTGGTAGATGTAATTGTCGAGCATGTTCCGTGCCAGACGGGTCTCGTTATCCCTCAACAATCCGAGCGCAATAAAGAACGAATCCCAGCTGAAACAAACAAGAAGAAGTTCAAAGATGAGCGACTATTTTGAGAAACAAAGCAGAGGATTGAGTGGGATCAGGAAAGATGGGGGAGATTGACTGACGCATACATCTCCTGAAACCGACCTCCAGGAACGACGTAAGGATAGGGGAGATAGAGTGCGCCATGGTCGTCGAGGGTAGGGAACGACTTCGTGTCAGCCGGCAGTTCGCGGAGCTCGAGAAGGTCGAGGTCGCCGACGGGGTTGAGCAGCCGGAGTCTGTGTCTGACCGTCGCGAGCGTCTCGGGGGAGCCGGGCAAGGAGCGGATGTACAACAGAAGCTTCCGGCCGGGACCATCCTCGGCCGTGTTGTTGTTGTTGGGCTGCAGCTTGGGGTCCGCAAGGAGGTCGACTATGGACAGGTTCGAGCGGATCAGTGACGCCCATCGTAGCCCGATCTCGCCCATCAATCTCGATAACAAGTCCCTCGTCTGCGCTCGTCGTCCTTCTTCTTCTTCTTCTTGGGATGCGGATGTCGCCGCTTTCGGCGGCCGAATTACCGTCGATTGGAACGTGATCAACCGCATCTTTAATGCTTCGTTTTTCGGCCTTCTCGTCTTCCTTGTTTTTTTTTTTTCTGGTTGGTGTTTGTCCCTGTCGCTATGAGCCCTTTTGTTTTGGAGAAGGTTAGTTTTTCGTAGTTGGAAGAACGATAATCGGGAATATCAAGAGAGAAAGGAATTTAATGATGGATCAAAGGCTCAACTGAGTTGTGTGGTTGTCGGGGGTTTCACATGATACGACCCACATGGAAAAAATTGCCAATTAGTTGGATGGGAAACACACATCTCATGATTCACTTCATACAAACAGTCAAACTCCAAGGAAGAGTTGCTTCAGCTTCAACCGATTCCTATTCTTCTTCTTCTTCCTTCAATCTCTCTCAGCTTCACACCTCCCAATTTTTACATAAATCCATGGCTCAGACATGGAAATCCCCAAGATATGGACATGCTTGACTTTCGAGTGCATCAAAATTTCAGCACATATTTTTTATTTTCATATCAGCCATCTCTGCAGTCTGGTGTGACTTCTTTTGGTTTGCCTATAACTATGTAGATGTCTCCATATAACCTCCTTTAAGTTGATCATAAATACTCATCTGAATGAAGCTTTCTTTCCACTTTCAATCATGATCTCAGAGACAGTTCAAGGAAGCTTGGATATGTGACTAACAGCTGAAAATGCTAGTCACTTGACATGGCCCATCCTCAAACATTAAGCCATATCAACCCAAGCCTGTGAGGGACTATTTTGCAAAGCTTTCAGAGCATCCACCCTCGTTCCGGTAAATATTTAGGTAGCCAGCGAGTCCCGCGCGGCTCGGTTGCTTACCTAATCAGAAAACCCCCCCTCGTTGCTCGGCATCGGCTCGGTAGGGAACTCAGATTTAGATACCGAGCCCTATCCTACCCTCGTGTCCATCTGACACAACTCGGCAACTCAACACCTCACATAATGGATCCCGACACCCTCCACTTGGAACATCTCATCTGGGATCTCGAAGAAGAGAATTTGATTCGCCGCCTCCTTGCGGCAGTAGCACAGCCGATCCCCAGGATGATTCAAACCGGCCCACGAGAAATCATCCTTCGAAATCGCATTGCAGGCAACGAACGTTTGATGGCGGATTACTTTGTCGACCGCCCAGTATATCACAATCGAATATTCGAGCTTCGCTTCCGGATGAGCAAGAACTTATTCAATCGGTTATGCGATGATCTTCAGCGACACGATCGATTCTGGGTTCTCAAAGCTGTGAGTAAATATCATGGCCCTTTTGATATATTCTTGGATCGTCACTCATCCCAAAAATCTCCATCAATATTTTCTAGGACTGTTGTGGCACAATAGGCCTGTCAACCCATCAAAAGGTGACAGCAGCACTCCGACAATTGGCCTATGGGTCTAGTGCCGACTCCGTGGATGAATATGTGCGAATTGGCGAAACGACCGCAATCCGAACACTCAAGCTTTTTTGTAAACATGTCATTGCAATCTACGGCCCTGAATACCTCCGACCTCCAAACCGTGAAGAACTCCTAGCAATCCTCAGCGAGAACGAAGATCGAGGATTTCCAGGGTGTATTGGGAGCATTGACGGCATGCATTGGGCTTGGAAGAATTGCCCATCGGGTTTCGCAGGCCAGTACAAAGGAAAGGAGAAAAAACCTACCATGGTCTTAGAAGCTGTTGCAAGCAAGAACCTCCGAATCTGGCATGCTTTTTTTGGTACCCCAGGCGCCCTCAATGACATCAACGTCCTTCATCGGAGTCACCTGTTTGACTCTTTACTCGCTGGGGCTTCGGACTCAATCAATTTTACCATCAACGGGCGCCAATACGACAAGGGTTACTATCTATGCGACTCAATCTACCCACCTTGGGCAACTTTAGTTGCTTCGATCAAGCACCCTCAGGATGGGGCCTCTAGACACTTTGCTAAGCTTCAGGAATCGGCCCGGAAAGACATCGAGCGAACGTTTGGGGTCCTACAAGCGCGTTGGCATTGCTTAACCCGTGGCTGTCGACTATGGGAGAAGACCGATGTGATGGAAATGATGATGTGTTGCATCATTCTACACAACATGATAGTTGAAGAACGATCACCAGCCGATCCTTTTCTGCCTCTCCCTTCGGCCGATATCATCCCAAATCATCGTGACCCAACCTTGGCGCATACCTGGGCTAACTACCTTCAAAACAACTTTGACCTGCACAACCCTGAGACCCATGCACAGTTGCGTGAGGACATCAAGATATATAACTGGCTCCTCCGAGGGGACGAAAGGGTATAACATATTGCTTTTTCATTGTTTTATTGTTTGCTCTTGGTCTCTTGTTATTCATGAGACTCTCATTATTTTATTGTTTTCTCTCGGTCTCATGTCTAGTTCCTCTCAAAAGAAATGCTATCTGTGTTACTTTTTTCACAATCTCATCAATCATACTACTATGATTCATAGTAATGAATTTCATGTTACCTGATTGTGACTCATCAAAAAACACATCTAGTCTGAAGTAAAAGAGCAAGAAAGATATTCAAGTGAGGAGAGCAAGAAAGATATTCAAGTGAGGAAGAGCTTTGGGCCTTGTGACAAGGGGCAAGGGAAGAGCCAAACCGACAAGATGTGATGGATAAAGAGTAAAACAGAGTCATGGGGTGATAAAGTGGGAATATGGGAGACTATAAGCCCGCTCGTGCGCGCCACTTGTTCTTGATTTGATCCTTGATGATCTTAATCACATCCTTTGCTTCCTCGTCACCAAGGTCCTCGGCATCGCGGAGGATCTTGAAGTCGTTCATGTCGGTTTCGCTCTGACGATATTCCTTTTCAACAGCCAGCTTCTCTTGTTCAAGTTGAAGTTTTTTGCGCTCAATCTCAATTTTCTCTTTCATAATATTATTCTTATTGATGAGGATTTCGTTACCCTTGTGAAAGGCTGTCAATCGTTCTTGCGAGATGACAGCAAGATCGCTTGTTTGTGAGAGCAATTCCTCGTGTTGATAGCCCTCGATTCGGCGTTTTTTGGCAGCCTTCCCACCGATTGGACGAGAAATCGATGAAGCTGAACGGACCGTTGGGCTAGACATCCCAGGGTTCTCATCATGAGCAGATTCCGGATCGATCGAGTCTGACAACGTGGTTGGCAATGGGGTAGCTGGCTGATCAACTCGGGGGTCCGCTCGCCATTTGGGGGCATATCGGAGCTTTTGCCACGCTGGTAGGTTGCTGAAAGCCGTCCCTTTGGTCTGGTCCAGGTAGTTCATCTTGGCTGCTTCAAGCCAATCATCGGGACTAGATCCGCTGGGTGGGTTACGTTCGATCGCATTATAGATGGCCGAGAATTTAAGGGTAGCTGTGTTCATAGCTGTCCATCTGGTAGATGGGGTGGAATTAGTGACAAGTTGAAGCCTGGGATCAATCAATATGCTTACCTGGTCTTTATTTGAGCATGATTGCGATAGTTGGCCTTGGAGTGAGTGTTAAAGTCTTTTTCGATCTTTCGATAGAAGGTCTTGCCCGACTGGTTTGTGGCGAATTCGGGTTGTTCACTGATGTTGATCCAAGAGATGGCCAACTGTTCTTCCTCTCGTGGAAGCCAGTTTGGTCCTCTTTTTTGCTTTGTTTGAGGCTGAGAGGCATCGGTGGTTTCTTCTACTGGGGTGGATGGGGTGGCCATTGGAGCTTCTGATGTGCTTTGAGGGTGACTTGCGGTCTGTATCAACAGTCGGTAGGCTCGGTAAAATGACCTTTAAAGAGCCTCTGTAGTCGTTGGTAAATCTAGCGAGCTGGACCGAATATCCTACAGACTAGTTTGTTAAAGAGCCCTAAAGGGGGCATGAGGGTGTGATTATGCATACCGAGTCTGTAAAACCGGCTTACCGAGCGGGTTTACAGACACAAGGGTGGATGCTCTCAAGTCACAACATCAACTATCATGGGAGGATGGGTTTGCTCCTCATTCGGTCATACCAATATCTACTTCTGGATTTGGATGGCCTTTCGACTCGAGAGTGTCCATAATTGAACTGATGTCTGCCAAACTGTGAAAAGGGCCAGCTTTTGATTTGGGTTGGTGCTTGGATACAAATGTGTGATATCCCATGTGACACTGTGTGATATCCCATGTGACACTGTGTTATATCCCCTGTGACACTGTGTGATATTCCATGTGACATGGCCTGGGAGATGTGACATGGGCTGTTGAGCCAAACTGGGGGTTCCAGTTCAGCCAGGTTCACCGCTCGGCATTCGGAGCTTGTGTACTGTGCCCAATTTCTTCTTCTCCTTCTTCTTCCTCCTTACCGGAAAACAGCCATAGAAACAAAAACCAGGCCGATCCCCTCTCAGCAGCAGCAGCACCAGCACCAGCACGACCCAGCAATCTCGTCAAACAACAAAAACAAAAACTCAAGCTTCGGTCACCGTCTGTTCAGTTTCACTTCAATCATCATCCCCTCTCTCTCTCTTTCTTCCAGGAAGCCATCGATTCTTTTCTTTAAAAAAATTAATACTTGACCGCCCTCAGCTTTCCTCGCCAAAGGGGGGCGAGGACCCATAGCCGCATCGGTCACGCTTCAAACAAGACGAGCGCCTTCGGGAGGGGCATCGTCGGATTCTAGAAATCCCTCCACCCAAGCAACCAAAAACAAAAAACCAACAACACCCCTTCAAGGAACTCATCCGACCTCTCCAAAACTCGACTAGGTGGTTCTTTCTTTCTTTTTTCTCTCTTTCGATTCGATTCTTCTTAAAGCAATCATCATACAGATGAACGGTTTCCCTCCTCGTTCATCCGAACGACGCAAAACCATATCTGTCAACGACCATCACCCTATCGTAACCGAACAACAACAAGATCCACTACCATCGATCCACTCCAACCCGACCATCAACGTCTTCCGGTCGATCTTAACGGAGATCGATACCTCGAAATGCGAAGAGAACGGCGAGAATGCGTTTTACGTCTGTGACCTGGCCTACGTCTATCGACAATACCTCCGTTGGCAGGAAGCCTTGGGGAACCGAGTCGAGCCGTTCTTTGCGGTGAAATGCAACCCGGACAGCCTAGTGCTCAAGCTACTCGCCCAACTGGGTACGGGATTCGACTGTGCATCGCATGCGGAGATCGAGATGGTGCTCAAGCTGGGTGTCGAACCTTCCCGGATCATCTATGCCAACCCGTGCAAAGCCGGCTCGTTTGTCCGACATGCGCATGCCAAAGGGGTCCAGATGATGACGTTTGATAACCAGGATGAGCTGGAGAAGGTGGCCAAGTTTCATCCGAACGCTCGCATGGTCCTGCGGATCCTCACCGACGATAGCGGCAGTCTCTGTCGACTCGGCGAGAAGTTCGGCGCCCCCCTCGAGAACGTGCGCGGGCTATTGGAGCGAGCCAAGGAGCTCGATGTGGCCGTCATCGGCGTGGCTTTCCATGTCGGCAGTGGCTGCTCCAACCCATTGCTTTACACCGATGCCGTGGGGAGAGCCAAATGGACCTTCGAACTCGGCCAGGAGCTCGGCTTCCACTTCGACTTCCTCGACGTCGGCGGCGGGTTTGGGGACGATAACTTCGACCTCCTCGCCGAGGGTCTCCTGGTCGGGCTCGACAAGTACTTCCCCGTCGGTTGCGGGGTCCGGGTGATTGCCGAACCGGGCCGTTACTTCGTCACTAGGGCTTTCGAGCTCGCTACTAATATCATCGCCAGAAGGAAGGCTCCCACACCTCCTCCTTCTTCTTTGGTGGCCGTCACAGCGGATGAGCAGGCCGACGATCTGGCTTCCAAAGACCAACAGGATTCTCCAGTGACGATGTGTGAGTAAAAAGTTTTTGTCCATGATGGCTGGAGCCTCTCAACTGACGCCGGATTGCCTGGTTCGATTGTCAGACTACATCAACGACGGGGTGTATGGGGCGTTCAACTGCATCATCTTTGACCACCAAGTAGTCGAGCCGAAGGTGTTGACGCTGGGCGGAGTGTTTTATGGGGATGGGTTTACGGAGACGGGATACCCGAGTGGACCGATGACGCCTTGTCTGTCGGAGCACGAGATGGACTGTTCGACGGATTCGGTGGGCTCGTTGAGTGTGACGTCGGCCCTCTTCGAGCGACCGATTGGCCGCCTGGGATCCTCGGGATCTGGGTCGTCAGCCTTCTTGGTCGACGAACTCGAGCTCTGTAAGATCTTTGGACCGTCCTGCGACTCCATCGACCTCGTCTCCCCCGCTACCCTCCTCCCGACAAACCGGCTCCTCGTCGGCGACTGGCTCAGATGGCCTAATATGGGCGCTTATACGATCTGCGCGGCCTCCCAGTTCAATGGATTCAAAATCTCTCAGGTCGTCTATACTATTGGCGACCCGTCGGTGGATGAGAAAGTCCGGCACATCCTCCGCTCTTCTTCTTCCTCTGCCCTATAACTCTCCTCCTTCTCTTTCCATCTTCTTTTTTTTTGCTGTTGTTTTTTGTTTTGTTTTTTTGTAGGGTTTCTTACCTCTTTCATCATTCCTTTTTTCTTTCAAAAGTTGTTTAGTTTGAGAAGGATTTTTTTTTTTTTTTTTTTTTTTTTTTGCTTTATATCTCTTGGTTAGTGTTTATGATGATCATCATCAGCCTTGCTTTCTCTCAACTATCCCATTTTGGTCGGTCTGATCTTGGAATCACACTTTCAGCCACTATATGTGGGTGGGGAAAGAACCCAAAAACACATCATCTCTTGTGGGCCGTGTTGATGGGATCTTTCTTCGTCCAAACTCAACTATTCATTTGCTTTGCCTTCTCCCCCCCTGCTCTCTCTTTATATAAACAACATAACCAAGCATCACTGAAAATACACCATTCGAATCCCTATGCATTCCCTTTATTCTATGTTTATCCCTTTCATTTCTTGGTATGGAAGATATATATATATATATATATGGCTTATGTTTTGGTTGCATGCAACTTTCAAGAACTATATAAAAAAGACTAAATTGTGAGGTGATGATTCATGATTATTGACTTGCAGATTTTTCTTGAAGGTTTCCATCATCACCTCTTCTTGACTGTCCTTGCTCTGCACTGGAAAAGGAGACAGGTTGAGTGGGACGGGCGGATGTTCACACTACACGTACGTAAAGATGCTACATCAAACACACAAAGATACAAGCGTAACAAAGCCCGCGAGCACCCGTAGGCGTGAGGTGCAAGCGGGGCTTATGCCTGACCAACACAAGACGGCATGAGGCTATGTCAAGAATAAGCGGAGGGATTCTTTTTTTTCAATTTTAAAATCATTCAATTTTTTATCGCTCTCATCGTTTGATCCCAGCTGAGCGCTGGTATGATGTCCAGAATCCTGCCGATTCAGTTTCCTCACAGTATCTATTGTAATTTTTCTATCTTTTTTTGAAAACATTTGATTCTTGTAAGTTTCTTGGTCCGTTAATGTTTTCTCTATCAGCCAATTAAATTTTTAATTTGGCAATCGACCGTTGAGAGATAATGCCATACCCTCGTATGAAACAGAACAAATGTGAAAGGTTTACTGGGCATGAACATTGGAAAAAAAGAGACGGGCTGTGAAAAAAAGAGCACTCCAAAAAAAGGCATGGCCTTGCTACTCAGCGGCCACGGAAAATCATGAAACTCAAAGTTTCATGAATTTATTTTATCATGAAGGGGGATACATAATAAATTTCTGAATTGACAGTTTGATGAAGAAAAATACAAGATTCAAACTATGAAGAAAAAAAAAAAACTCGTTGAAAACTAAGGGCTGCAGGTGCTCACAGCATCGACTGCCACCAAAGCTTGCACATTCCCTCAAGCGGAAGTGCTTCATTATTCCCAAGTCCTCTCCCTGCGGGAGAGTCCCTGGTGCTTGCACACTCGACAAGCGGCTACAGTGCACCACGCCGCAGCAGGGACGCGGGCTTGTGTTAAGTTTGACAAAGATAGGCGGTCGTACTGTGGGTGGACTGGAACGTTGTTTTGGGCTGCTTGTTTGGCAGGGAGGCCTGAGCGGCATTTGAGTGGCTCAAATGGGGCCCCAGCAGACGGGATCTAAGCAATTGCAGTCCCCGGAAAACGGATTGGATATTATATATATTATAAACATTGGTTTGAAATTTGGGAAGGAAAAACCTAAGCGGGGCTTCTCACAAATCCTAGTATGTAGCTTTGAGATTCATTTGTGGGGGTGATCAGACTGAACAGGACTTGAAACGCATGGTTATATGTAGACAAAACTTGAGGAAAATTAAAATAATGGGGTTCTTCATTCATTTCTACAGCTGTTGATCATGTGCCCGGATATTCATCAGCCCACAGTGCAGTACATACGCACCCTGAATCCTCCGGTTCAAAGCCACTCTGGTCAACCAACCCCAACCTGGGCTAGAGATGGTCGGTCCGCATCCGGATACCCGTTCGGATGCGGATATCCGATGGCAATTTCAGCGAAATTGCACATCCGCATCCGCACCCGCACCCGCTAGCGGGTATCCGTCGGCCGCAGCGGGTATCCGAGCGGGTATCCTCGGATACCCGCCCTCTAAAGGGCCGGCGACGGACCGGCTGGAAGGGTTTCCTTCCAGCCGGCGAGGCACTTGTACCTCGACGGCTGAAAGGGTTTCCTTCCAGCCGGCGAGGTAAATGTACCTCGACGAGGTACATGTACCTCGCCGGCTGGAAGGGTGTCCTTCCAGTCGACGAGGTACATGTACCTCGGCGACTGGTCTGCTCTAAGAAAGACTATCTACTGGAGCACAGTGGCTCCAAGGGTGATTTTCAATTCAGACATTCTTGGAACATTGACATGATTAAACCATCCAACAAAATTTACATCTTTTGAAAAACACAAAGTGCATGCAAAAAATTGCCAAGGTTTTCAGGAAAGAAATCGTTTTCTTGTTCTGTGTGTGTTTGACATCAAGTACTTTTTTTTGATTTTGTCTCTTATAAGAGTTTCTGGATCCAAAACCAATGATGTCTCCTCTTGTTTTTCTTCAGTATTCAAAGTAAGAATCAAACTATCACATCTTTTTTTGGTTTTTTGTTTTGTATCAAATTAGGGGGAGAGGGACCAATGATGAGTTTGCTTTTTTTTTCAAGGGAAGTCTAATCAGACAAGTTGTAGTGGTGGTCGTTGTATGGAAATGAATGGTTGGATTTGCGGGTGATATATCCCGCTTCATCTTTAGTCTTGGAAGTGTCCAATGAATGGATAATTAGAATGCGGAGAAATTTCAATTTGTTTGAAGTGATGACCATCTGATTTGTTTTATTGGGCAGTGTTTTTCTAGTATTCATATGGATGTGGCTCTTATAAATGGAGATTCAAAAGATTTTGATTGCTGTACAAAAATCCTGCTCCATAACCATGAATATATCGTGGGTCTTTGATTAAATTTAATTGAGCTCTTTTTGAACATCCTTCTTTTTTGGGTTCCAATAATTAGTTGAATTTCTGGGGTACATACTTCCATAGTGTTCCACAACACATCAGCCAATGCATCTCATGAGATGGTAAAATGGGATTATCCAAAAAGACACCAAACCTGGGCTAGTAGTAGAGCAAGTGATGATGTCTGATTTCACGGCAAGGATAATGGTATAGCCTCCTACAGTCTAGTGGTGCGCTGGACAGACAACGAGGGTCTGCAAGTTGAGCCGACCGCAGGGTCGGACGATACAACAAGGCCGACTTATCTCACATCGCCGGGAGAATCGTAATGGCAGTAGTGGGAGCAGGATGATGGGTGACTTGGACGATGAGAGGGATGCTTCAAGTACAATGATTCTTCTGTGCTCCGCGTTGGCAGCTCTGATGATCTTTGATGGGTCTGTGGTTGGGACCAGGTCTGCAAAGTCTGTGTTGTTCCTCGCAGACATCCATACTCAAGCTCGATTCTTTGCCTGATTCATTCTTGTGATTTTTAGGGACTCGAAACCGTTAGATGGGCATTGAGATCATGGGGATTGTGCAAGATGTGTTTTCTAAGCAGGCCATCTTCTACCCAGGAGACTGATCACTTCAAAGACCTTCAACTCAGTCTTGTCAATCTGCTCATCTTCAGACCAACTCCAATCAATTTTCGATGCCACCCATGCAAGATCAACTTCCAAAGAATGCCTAGAGGAGATATTCAAATTTGATTAGTTAATAGGTGACGTTTCACATATATTATAAGTTATGGACGAATTGACCAGTGCGCTCTGTCGGATCAGGATCTTGGAAGCAAATAGCTTCCAAATTGTATCGAAAGCGTTCCGACGAATTTTGTTTCAAAAGCGATTGATGATTGCTATAAGTGACTGAAAGGGGATCAGACGAGTTATTTGGCCAAAACATTTTGTCTGCAATTTCGACATTGCGGAAGTCATCGTCTCAAACCATCCTGATCAGCGCCTTGGCCAAAACCTCTTGAATACTGAGGCATCGGAGGAGAAGGGAGAAGGGATTCTTGAATGTAACCAGTGGCGGAGCCCTAATCGCTCTATCCATGAGTGGTGCCAACTCTTATTGTCATTTCGTACTGCGCCTCTTGACTTCGGCGTCACCTCATCAACCCTGGCAGTCTTCAAAGTGTTTGTATATGTCACTTGAAGCACCTATCCGGACAATTCCTGGATTGGCTTCAACCTCCACTATCACTGTAGTCATACGTTTTTGGTAGGCTAAATAAAGCACTCAAGGTCCAAAAATGATCGGTGAGAATTGTCCTATTCGCGAGACCCGGTCACCTTAGAGTAACTGGAATCTCTATGCAAAAAATCGGCAAAAGATACAAGATTCTAGTACACTGCTTCACATTCGCATTGATGTTCTACAAGAATATCTCAATGAAACATGAGGACTATATACGGGAAGGGATTGAATGGAGGGGTTAAGAGCACATGGAGGAAGAGAAATAGATTCATTAGTCCACAAAAACACCTGCACCCAAAACCTTTGCTAATGTTGGCTTGCACAGTTTGACAAAGGTATAGTGGGATGTGCTATCGAAGTTTGCTTGATTTAAGGGGGTGGTACTTTTGACATTTGTCACAGGCTGGGGGTTGGGGTAAATTAGTCTGCTGGCGTGTCTTGTTTGATTGAAGGTTGAGAGACTGACACTGCCTCGATGCATTTTGTTCAAAATAGTCACATCCTAATGTTTTATCTCCAACCTGGACCTCTACAAAGATGAAACGGGGGGAGGGGGTGTAAGCAACAATTGAAATGATCTCTAGTAGGCACAACTCAGAATGGTAGTATTTCAACATACTGATAAACTTGGGCCCAGTGACATAACTCTCTGGGTTGGTAACAGGTCTTCCTTCACCCACTAAAATATTACGTGGAAGTATAACATCCAGGCAGTCACCAAATTTGAATGCTAGTGATCGTCATCCAGAACAAGTGTGTAAGAGGTCAGAAGGAGTGATGCCAGTGGTTTATTCAGACTTTTTGAGATGCATCACTCACCCTGATTACAAGACAGCTTCTCGCATTTGTAAACTATGCGATCAAAGCCTACGCATGGCAGTTTTGGAAGCCAATCCGCCAGACCCATCAGAAGGTTTGGGAGTCAATTAGACAAACAGTTCTGGCCCATGCATAGTCATTCTTGTTATGCCAGGAATCTTAATATTTGAGTGAAAAGAAGAAAACTCCCCAAGGGGGATATAAATTTCTTAAGACCCCCGTATTTATAGAAAACCTATGTACATACTTGGGTTGGTGAGAAACAAAAACCCATAAATCCATAGACTATGTATATAAATAGGGTGAGAAATCTATCAAAATGTGACATGGGAATTCATGTCATAACAATTCTTACTCACTTGGAGTCAGGAGGATACACTGGCTCTTAAATCTCCAACCCAGAAATGATTTTTTTCACAAGTAATTTGAGAGTGCACTGAAAGATTTAAACCCCCCCCCCCCCAAAAAAAAAAAAAAATGAATACCCCTGATTGATTTGGGAGTCAATCCTCCAAAATTGAGTGGGGGTTTGGGAGTTGGAGAATTAGAAAGAGCCCCCACTAGCCAGGAGGAATCCTCTTGGCTGTTAAGAGTGTATGATCTCAATGGCTGAGAGGAACCTTTCCAGCCATTCAAAGTTGGATAATCTCAAAAGCAGAGAGGAACCCTCCCCTGGCCACTGAGAGTACACTCTTGATGCCTGGGAGGGTTTCCCTTGGCCGCCATGAGTGTACTCTTGGTGGCACTCTCAGCGGAATCCTCCTGGCCACCCAGCTGTTGGGTCCTCTTTTAATTCTCCAACTCACAAACCTCAAATTTATTTTTGAGGATTGACTCCCAAGCCTGGGGGAAAAAATAGGGGTAGGGGACATCATGAGATGGTCCTCATGATGTCCCCAAGGTTTGGGAGTTGATTAAACGATACCCTGAAATAAACTAAGTGTTTTGTTGGACCACCATCAGCCTCATGTATGTGGTGCATTTGATTAGGCATCAATTGACTGTTCCCCCATCACAAGTCCTCAAAACATTTACTGATATCTTTGTTTATTACAAGCCTGCAGCCCTATCAACATGGGCATGTGAAATTCTGGCTTCAAGCATGGCACCAACTTGAGTTTTTCTGGGCTGTTTTGGGAGTTGTTGAAAGAATTTGGAACTGAAGCAGTTTTATTTCTGAATAAGTTTTATGTTCTTTTTAAATAAATACAATTGATAATCATAAATAATCATGAAAAGAGAAATTAGATCAGTGCCTGAAGGCAGAACTAATCTAATAAATTTAATGCTAAGGCTTGATGACTATGATAAAGGGAATGACTTTGGATAAGTTGTTCAGATAATAATTCAAGTAAATGAACAAATTATCAAAAGATCATTTTGCTGTTAGCCTTCTCTATAGATTTTATTATTTCTCTTTAACATAAAAGTCAAGAAAGACTTTACTTTACTAAGTAAGAAGATATTTCTTCTTGAGATAAAGCTGTGTGATACTATTTGCTCAATGAGCCGACTGACATTGGAAAGATTTGAGTGATAAGGTTGCGTTTGATAGTCTTGTGCAAGTGTAAGCTAAAGATGAATGATGATTTTTTGGTATACAAAGAATTAGAACTCAATCACACTCTTGTTCTGATTCTTTCTACTTTGATTCAATTCATTGAGACTCACCTGGATCTTGATGATTGATCATAATCATCATTCTTATATTTGCTTGTGACGTCATTGACGTCACTACTTGATGTACAAGCTACAATCACGCTTTTCTCTTGTTATTTTGTTAAACAGCCTATCTCTGCAAATGATCACACATTTTGTGATCAGAGCAATGTTTTTAGTTTATTTCTCCAGGAAGTTTATCCATCATGTGATAAACTTACCTGATGATCTCCTCTTTCAAGGGATAAGACAAGGAATCAAGTTCCAACAGTTGTCTGTCCAAAATTCATAGTAGGTTTGTGAGTCAGACCTCTAATGAACCCACTTTCCTTTGGATTTCTGAAGCTAATGGCTAAGGAGTGATCCTCCTGAGCTGGTGGGTACACTCTCTACTTTACTAGCCAAGGAGGAATATTCCTTGTCTTGTAGGCTGTATAGTATGTATCTACCCCCACCTGGCAAGGAACAATCTTCTTGGTCCCGTAGGTACAGACTGTACCCACTAGGCAAGCAAGGAGGATTCCTGGTTGGTTATGTAGTGGGTACACTTATATTAATGGTGCTGAAGTTTGAAAATTCTTCAAATTTTGTTTTGAAATGTCTTTGAAATCTGCGCCTGCAGGGGAGGATGGTGACAACCAGATTGGTCCGGGCAAGTTTCCAGGTGATAGCCAGAGGTGATTCCAAAGCTCTTTTGACTCTATTTTGAAATCGTCTCAAACAAAGAATAGGATGATTTGCAAAATCAGTTTGAGACAGGAAAAATGAGCAGTATTCAATATGGATTATTCCTAGAGGCTTCCAAGACTAGTAATATGGAGCAGAAATGTACTACTACGCTAGATGGCCCACTAATGTCAGCGTAGCGGCCCTCAAACCAGCATGCCAACCCTGTAGCGTGAGCACACTGTTAGTCCCACTGTGCTGTGTGGTCTGCATGTGTAGTGTTAGCACAGTTGTGGTGCAATTCCACTGCTCTACACTGAATGTTAGAGGAATTGTGCCACATTATGGTTCTCTAATGCTACTGTTAGCAAAATTGGCCCATTGTTGTATGGAGGCAGTCTCCTTCTGGCCAAGTCACTGTGGACAATGATCACTAAGTACCAGCTACTACCTAGGCTCACAGAATCATAAACTCTGGGAGAATCCTGACCTGAGCTCCACAGATGCTTTCATCTTTGCAAGCAAGTCTCTCTGTGAGACAAGAACACTGCAGGGCTTTCACTCAAAAAGATGCATAGTCCAGCTGTCCGTCCACCCCTGAAAATGTGTGCATCTTGGAAAAACAAATTGTCTGGGGATCCCTGGTCCCTCTCAGACAAAGAACAAATTATGGCCTACATAAAAAAGAATCAATGCTTTCGTATCTCCAACAGGAGGGTACATATCTTTTGGATCATTTGGCGGATGTCTGTGGTGTAGTTTGCTCACTCGATATGTAGTTTGATGATGATGATGAGAGTGGATGAAGTGATATTCATCGTTTGAGTCTTGGCTCCTGGATGCAGTTACCGAAGTCTAGAGCCATCTTGGTCCGTACATTTTAAACAAATAAATAGGTCCCGGTGAAGGATACATACATGAACTGGCGATCTGCACTTTAGATATCAGCACTCGTTTTGGGGGGAATGTAGATCTCCGTAGAAACGATCGGAGCCGATGGTGGTGCGAATGTTAGGCCGGGTTAATTCGGTTGTTCATACATGGACACGAGACACGCTGACGATGATTATCAGACAGGCCCTGGCCGCAGGCTCCGGGGTTTTTATCGTCCATCTTCTGTGGAATCGGCCCCGTGGGGAAAGAGAGGTGGCAAATCGGATCGAGCGAGGCTGTTGTTGTTGTTGTTGTTGTGATTTTCTGGGGTGCACCTCCCCCTCGCAACCCCTCGACTGCCCATGTGACAGTGAGTCTGGGGAAGCTCAACGAGCTGCAGGCCGACGCTTGGACCACATATTGATCAGATTTACCCGCATAGCGCGGGGTGATGGAGGGATGAGTTTGCTATTTTTGTTTTGTTTTGTAGTGAGTTCCGATCGCCCTGCAAGACTTTCTCTCTAGTGCTTGGCCGTTACATCCCCCTCCTGGCACTGCTGCAACGGTCAACGAACCTCAAAGAGTCAACTCGGAGACCTGCAGGGAAGGAATTTATCAGTCAGCACGTGAAATAAGGAGCAGGGTGGGGTTTGGATTATGTAAGCTGCAAACCGAGTTTTTCAGTCGTCGAGCCCTTCTTCTTCTCCTCCTTCTGCCTGTTGACCGTTTCACAGCAAACCCATCATCATCCTGCAGTCAACCAAAAGGCAAGCAAGCCCAACATGAACCAGTTCAACATTGACTACCATCAACAACAGCAACAACCTCAACAACAACAACAACAAGCACAACATCCGAATATTAATCCCAATCGATCATCTTCTCCCACCGATCATTCCTCATTCGATAGGTCTCGGATACCCAGGTAAAGTAACCAATCACCCAAGTTCAATTAATCAAATCAGTCCCACTAACTCAAGAAACAATCATTTGAATATTCCAGTAGACCCTACAAATGTCCAGTCTGTGATCGTGCATTCTATCGACTAGAGCATCAAACCCGTCACATTCGAACCCATACTGGAGAAAAACCGCACCACTGCACTCATCCTGGTTGTGATAAGAAATTCTCAAGATCAGATGAACTCACAAGACATACTCGAATTCATACCCATCCAACCCAACGCAAGAAACCATCATCACTCACCAACAAAGCTCATCACCATCATCATCAGCACCACCACCAGCAGCAGCAGCAACCCCGGCCGGCCCAAAGTACTGTCACTAGCACCCCTCCTATTCAAAACAATAATATCATCTTCAGTCAGGAGGCCCACAGCCAACAGCTTAACTACTCAATCAACCAAACCTACAGCCATCCAAACCCTCGACAGCATCATCACCCACTCCCTCACCCATACCACCGTCATCCCTCTCATCCTCCTCCTCACCATCACCATCATCAGCAACAACAACAACAGCAGTATCATCAGCAAACCAACTCTCATGAGTTTTCTCCAGGTCATCATGTCCGCCACCATTCCAACCAATCCAATCGGCTCAGCTTCTCTACTAGCTCAGTCTTAGAGCCCATGCAACATCTCAGTCTTGTCCATCCAAGACCGACGACCGAGCAGGCTCAATTCACTCTTGGCTCAAATCCGGCTTCCCCTCTGCATCGAATCTCTCGACCACAAAGCCCGATCGTCCTGCCATCATTAAGACTATCTGCTCCCGCAATAGACCTTCCTCCTCCAAATCATAATGGGAGTAACCATGTGGTTGATGACACGGAAATGCTTGATGATCCTCGCCCACTGGAGAGATCTCAATCAAGCCCTTCACTGTCCACTGCACCTGAACGATGGGCAATTTATCAACGGCAAAAACACCGCTCGAAGCTTGAGGGTCAGGCCGTCAGTGGTGGTACCTCAGAGGGTCTGCCGACACCGATCCAACGAAACTCAAGCTTTTCCTCAGTCGGATCATCCTCCTTTGAGCATTTTGCACAAGCCCGCCTACAGTCATCCAATACACCGAGTACGGCACCTAGTAGTCTGACCGAGCCAGACTCGGTCTGTCATCGAGGACGACTGGAACTGATTCTGAACGGGGACACTCCAGTTCATCAGGTCAACAAGCCCCACGACCCTCGAAGGACTTTGCCGCCGCTATCATCCCTGACCAAGTCGTGTGGACCGATCATGACTTTCCCGAACGTCTCCTCTTCTAAATCCCGTTCGGCCCCTCAATCTCGAGTCAATAGTCCACCAAGCTCACCCAGACTGGTCGCACTGCCGCCCCTAGTGGCCGGGCCGAACCTCAAAAGATCTCGGTCGATGAACCATCACCATCAAGATAGATGGGACCAAGTGCCAAGATCGACTCGGGACCAAAACAATCATAGTGGCCATAGTCTCCCGTTCTCTGGATCGTCTACATCGACGACGGACGATCGAGGGTCGATGATGACCATGAAGCATGGGAATGGCTTTAGCGGTAAACGGAGAGACTCGAGTACTAGTGCGCCTCGGAGAAAGAATCAATTTGGACTCCAGATGACGCCCATCGAACATACCGCACCTCCTCCTCCTCCACCAACGACGATGATGGGCTCCTCAAGCAGTCGGACCCATTACCATCATCATCATCATCCCTTCCGAAGCTCGGGCTCATCGGCCGTCGGCAGCAGCTCGAGTGGCAGCTTCTTCGACAGTTATGAACACTATCAAGTCCGGTCAAGGTCTGATAGTTTCTGTAGTCAAGAGTCTGGATACAGCTCTGGGCTGCCCTTCTCTAATGGGATGATCACCGATGAGGAGGAGCGAGGAGAGCGGGAAGAAGAGGATGAGGATGAAGAGGTGGAGGAGAGATCGAAGGGCCAGGAGGATGTCGAGCAGTCGATCAGGGAGAATGACTTCGATGACGACGGGATCCTCATTAGACCCAGGAAAAAATCCACTAAAGCCCCCCCTATTCTTCCCCCTTCTTCTTCTTCTTCTTCTGGCCCACTCCATCTCCCTCTTCCTCCCCCTCCTATCCAACTCGTCAATCGTGATAATGCCTCTTCATTCGTCGACCCTCACGTCGACCATCAACTTCTCCCCTCTCACCCCTCCACCCATGACCGTCATCATCCTCATCCTCATCCTCATCATCCACATACTCATCATCTTGCGCCTGTTCCTGCTCCGCTTCATCAACCCACGGTTATCGAATAATCCCTTCTTCTTCTTCTTCTTCTCATTATTATTCTCTTGCTTTTGTTTTGTTTGCTCTTTTTGTCAGTTGGTTTTTTGAAGGGTTTTTTTTTTGAAATCGGTGGATCATTTATATCTTTCAAAACGTATCCTGTTTGGAAATATACTCTTAAGTCTTTCCTCTTCCTTTCTCTGTTTCTCCCTTCCTTCCTTCACTTCTCTCTCTCTTTCTTATTTTTGTGGAGATGGGAAATTAGGTTTTTTTTTTTCATAAATATTGATAAACATCCAAAAAAAAATGTAATATGGACATTTTTCTTTCTTTTTTTTCAGGCCATTTTTCATTTCTATATATATATATTTGTATATGTGAAACCATCAAAACAGAAAACCCCAAACAAAACCAAACAAAACAAAACAATCACATCCACTGTTTTTGTGTTATCTTTACTTTTTTTTCTTTGGGTTTGTATGTATCTCTCACAAAGAATAAATACATAAATACTATGAATCCCCTTGGAAGAAAAATTTTTCCATAGCTACTTGATAATTATGTTTATAAAAATACAATATGTCTGTATACTGTTTTTTTTCCTATTCTTTTTTTTATATTTTTTTTTGGGTTATTTGGTTTTTGTTCCTTTTTTTTGACATTGAAACATAAAATTCAAATATCAAATGAACATGAGCCAAAAACCACTACTTCAACTACAGATACATCATCAACAAAAAACACAAAACAAAAAATACAAGTGATTGATGCAAGATGAAGAAAAAGCAAGGATTTACAGAGTAACTACATTGTCCCTCCTGAGTCCTTGTGGGTTCAGTTACAGTATATGTCTATAAAATGGAGGACTTCCCTGTAGCTTGATGGGCCCCCTGTACTCAAGCCAGAACAAATTGCAATTGTATTCCCCATCAAAAATCACATTGTTTGTTCATCCATTTACAAGGGCTGTAGATTTGATGGCAAGTCCTCCAAGGTGTGTGTGTGTTTATCTAGGAGTAGTTAGGCTTATGAAAATGCCTGTCCTCTCATTACAGGACCTGCTTATAATAAAGATTTGAGGGAATGAACAAGGAGAGAGGAAGCAACATATGTGGATGTATCAGCAGTGCACCAAATACAATACATATATTGTATTTGTATTGCCAAGACACAGGTTTCCAATGCTGTGTATTGTATCTGATAACAGCTACATCAGAAATACATGAAATACAATGGTGTATTCTCTCCAATACATCATGTATTGTTGTGTATTGGGCAGTGAAATACACAGTTTTCAAATACAGTGGATTGTATCTGATAACAGATACCTCAGAAATACAAGTATTTCAATACAATACAAGAAATACAAAATACAATGTACATGTATTATATTTGTGGCACCATTGGATGTATGTACAGATTCAAACTCAACAATGTACTTTGCTTTGGAGTGTCTGGTAGTCTTGGCAATTGTGCAAAGCACAAGCCTCCAGAGAAGTGACTTCTATTCAAAACAAACATGCCTGTGTTTCATGGTTGGGCACTTTTGGCCAGCTGAACCATGCTTGTATCCAGGTCTTGGCTGATTTGGAGCCACCACAGGAACAAGCTTACGTAATCATCCCAATCCTTGTCTCCTGAATCCCTTCTAGCTCAGTTTGAGAGATTGCTAAGCTTTGTCTTTGATTCAGGCAAGCCTCTCCTCAATTATCTCTTTCTCCATTTGGATTATCTTTTGTTTTATATCCAATACTCTTTTCCTTTCTCCTTCTCTTACATCTCCTTTTCTTTCCATCATTGTTGTTATGTACTGAGAGACCTCAGACCTTCTTCCTACTGAACTAGAAATCAAAATTCATGGTGTTTTTAGAAAGATCCCCCTCAGTCCCAAGCCATTGACAAACTGTCAATTATAGCTAGCCTCTAGTACTCAGTGCCAGGTACTACTAACTAGGCACCCATGTAAGTGCACAGTCACCCTCTCGTGGGTACCAGTTTCCAGTCTGGGTGTAAATTCAGGCAGGTACCCAAACCCACCATAGGTAACTGGATGCAAAGTACCATCTCTACTGTCAATTAAGTGCTTGAGCAGCTAGCTATTACACACCCTGGATCTGATTTTGTCAGAATTTTACTGTTGACTATCAAGCCTGTATGAAACCATACATGAAATTCTGTGTCTTCACAAATTTTTTGTTTGGGTTAAGAATGCAGAAACTCTGCTTCAAAATTTCCCCTGATCCAGGCTGATGGAACATGGACTTGGGTTTCTTAGAATCAAGTCCTGAAATGAGTTGCATTACAGCCATTCAAATTAAAATTTTATCCAGTGGGTTTACTAGAAAAAGTATTCTCTGGAGTGGGGGATTTCCTGTCAAAATCTGTGGGTCCCCCAGTTATGATTTAGAGCCTTGAAGGCTAGATTTCCCTTCAAAAAAACTATAATTTCTGGTTCCAACTCAAACATTTGCAGTAGAGATGGGACATTGCACCCAGTTACCTTTGGCAGGTGCAAGTAACCGCCTGAAATTCCACTGAGTTTGAACACCTGACACCGGGCACCTGCTGGTGGGTACCTGTTGGCAGGTTGCAGGCACCCACCAAGAGTTACAAACATTCAGAAAAAGGCTGTTTCAGACCCAATTTATGGCCAGGTACCTGCCTGGAATTCCACTCAATTTGGACACCCACACCCATACCTGGCATCCACCTGCAGGTACCAAGCATCCACCAGCAGGTACCTGAAGCCAACTCTAAAATGTGGGAGGGAACCAGATAAAACAGGAAGTCATCTGGTGCTTTTATGCTATACAAAAGCATCTTTATTAGGGGGTATCAAATAACCATTTTTTTAAACATGTTGGTTCTTCACACTACAAACAATACCAGTCTTGCCCCAGGAAAAAATGGCAATTTGGGTGGTGGAAAATAGATCAATTTCCCTGAGGCTTTTTTACAAAATGACTCAGGAGTAAAAATTAGGCTAAAATGAGCTATTTTAGCCAAAAAAATAAAAATGCCTCAAATGAGCTAAAAATTAATTTTGGAATGTTTGTCATTACATACGTTGTGGTAAATAATACTGTGTTTCTACGCAGAAAATATAAAAATTTCTTATTATCTTTTTATTCATTCAAGATATGGTCAAATTGACATCAAAAATGGAATCCTCAGGTAAAATAACCCCTAGTCACCCACTACAACCATACCCTTATCTCTTATAGTTTAGAAGTTACACAGATTTCAACCTGTCACGGGATATTTCTTGGATTCTTCACTCTAGCCATAGTCATTATGAATACAGGATGCATATTGCATACTGGATTCCTTTGTAGTAAATTGAATACCTTTACGTTGTTTTGAAGCCCTTTGTATTAGTGATATTGCATGTATGCATCCCTTTGATCATACATATGCGTCCCTTTATTCATTCATATGCATCCCTTTGTAGTAGTATCTTTCAGCCTGTACCCTGGGGCCAAAATCCCTCACATTTGTCTATATAAGGAGGCCTCTGCCTGCCAGTTGTTCCCTCCATCATCCCACCAGGGGTCGATCATCCCACCAGTGGACCAGATCATCTCAACCACCCTTATAAATAAATCCATCTTATATATTATTTCATAACTACAAGTCATAGCCACATTACAATTTCAGAACTATATACATTGAAATACAGATTTAACACTTTCATCAACATCATAAACCAAAAGTGCCCTGAACCATATTCAACAACAACAACTTCATCAATATAACCAACAGTCAATAACATCTTTATAATCTCACACATATCAATCGGCAGCTTCATCTCGAACTTATCCCTATCACCATATATAAAATTGCCAAGCTAAGCTTGGTGGTCTTGTTATTCTGATAGTATAGAAGGGCAGAGCTTGCAACTCCAACATACCCTTCTCCATTCAGCAAAAGGGTTTCACAACCACTTTTGAGTCTTACAACGTGATATATCTCATCTGCTATTTCCCCCTCACAGGACTGCCACCATTCCCAAAGGAGTTCTCACACTGTGGCAACACTTATCTTGCTATCTTCAACCTTGCAGACACACTTCCTTGTAAGCTCTTCCTGACTTGACCATGGCCCCCTCCTTCCTCTCTTTTCTTCTATTGCTGACTCTTTATTTCATCTGATGATAATGAATCAATCAATCAACTCAATCTCCTTTCTAGTTTTTCCATTAATTATTGTGTACATCATTTAAATGTACCCTTTTTTCAGATATTTTGATTTGTATGTGTGTTGTATCTCAGGTTTTTTTTTATCTGGTTGGTTAGTTACATGGTAAAAAAGGAACCAAATGAAAAGAAAGGATCATCATTTGAAGGGGTGAATTTTTCCAAGCTCAAATTTTTCTGATCTCTCCCTATGTAAACTCCCTTGCACAAATCTCAAGACTTAATCTCTAACTTCACATGTTAATTCCCCCACTTACAAAAAAGAAAAAAGAAAAAAGAAAAGAAAGTGAAGTTAACACAAAAAAAAATCGAATACCTGCAAGCCCATGCCAATGTTGTATTGTATTGGCCAACACAAATTACAATATATTCAAAACAGATATAATATATTTATCAAAGATACTTTTTATCTGGACACCAATACAATACCAAATATTGGGCAATAATTTATTTTATTGTGTCTGTTTCAGTGCTGCTTACAGTCACTGTTTCCGTTAGCCAAACTAAATTCTGAGTGCTGTGTACTTATTTCTTTCAGCACCTTGCACCAAACTGCAGTGTAATGTAGCGGAATTTCACTCAAGTTTTATGTAGTGCAGAGGAATTGTGCCATGGATGCACTAATGCTACATGTGCAGGCCACAAAAGAGGGCCTGATATTCTACAGTGAATTTCAGTGTTTTTTTGGCATTTTTGCTGCTCAATTTTCTGTAGTGCAGTGTACCACAGCATAGTGGTACTACTACTAACAGTGTGCTAGCCCTACAGGGTTGGTGTGCTGTTATGAGGGCAGTTATGCTAAACTCATTGGGCCTTTTAGTGTTGTGTAGCATGTTGGTCCATCCCAAAATGCCCTTTCAAGATGTATTTGATATGCCCTCAGCTGTTCCAAGTCATCCCAGAGAAGGACTCTCAGGTTTAACAATCCTTAACTGGATATGCAATTTTTGGTTGGTTGGTTGGGCCTTGAACCACTTGCAATGGATCAATGTTTCCAAGTTGAAAATGTGAAGCAATGATTAGCAAGTTCTGTGTCCTTGTGCTTCAATTATTGGTAATAAGATTAATAATGGTGGATACAGAATGGCTGATGAGACATATGGGTTTCCACCAACAATATCTCACAAGCCAAAGGTGAACCTTTGACAGTATAAATCAGGTCCTTCTGCAATCCACCGCCTCCCTAACTCATACCCCTGCCTGTTGACATGTTCAGGCACAATCACCCCAGCTTATCACATTGCATAATTCAGTCTTCCTGGCCAAGGTGTGTTGATCCATTTCCAATCTCAGGTTGTTAGAATGAACATTCTCTGAATGAAACCACTGAGCTCAGTATACATCACAACTAAATGCTCAAGTGTACAATTGATCTTAGGAAATCAAAAATAAGTAATTAAAGCTGGTCAGCTAAAATTGGTCTTGGGAATAAGAAACTTGAGATAAGCAGATTAGGAATTAGGAATTGGATAGGTGCATGTCTGGATATAGAAGTGTTATGGGCGTTCTGGGGAGAGCAGGTGAGGATCTTCAGGGTTCTGGTTCTTGATGGTAGATTACAAGATGGGGGATGTATGTACAAGGTGTGGATCCCAGACAAACTCAAAGTTCAAAGTTTGTGACATGTAACCAACAGACTATGTACATATGTAGCATCCCCATTTCCAGTCCTCCACAGCTCATAACAAGAAGTGTGATTGTTGCAAGTTGTTGGGATTGATTGATTGAGATGATTTAATGGTAACTGGGAAATTGGTTAATGGGACCAGAAATAGAATTGATGTTGTTCTAGAAATGGTGAAAAAGGAAAATTGATTGACCAGCCAGGAAATGATCATTGGGGGAGTTTGAGATGGTAGAATAAGAGGGTGGGAATGGGAAATGGAACATGGGGCATAGGGCAAAGGCTTTGGATACAGAATCTGTCACCTTAAGTGGATAAAGACAGATATGAGTTTAATTGATGTGGATGGAAAAAAAAGATGAATATGTACTTTTGCAGTGGTGAGAGGCAGTGTGGAAAGGAAGGCATGGAGAGGAAAGAGGTGTCTGGACTTGGAGTATAAAAAGGGCCTGGTAATTTGGAAATTGGGAGTTTGTCCCAGGATGGGGTTGAGTGTAGGGTATCAATTCTTTACCCTTTGGGCCTATATTTTTAGCTGTGCTAGACACATATTTTTAACCTTAACATGGATGTAGGTTAGAAAAAATACAGAGGAGAATTGCTGCCCAAAAATGGGACTGTGTGACCAACTTATCTGTTTTTAATTTTGCTGATGAGGGGCCTATGTGAACAGTGCTTATTGAGAATTCCAAGGCGGGTGTCCTGAGTCTATGGATGGATGTAACTTAGTATACCCCCATGCAGATTGCTTTGTTGTAAGATTGACCCCTTTCTTGTATTAATGGACAAAAAAACAATCAAGACTAAGTCATTCATGTTTCTAATTCTATGAGAGACAAGTTAGGAGAGCTCCAGATCTCATGTCAAGATCCTCATTTGAGAATTTTTTGTGAGCAGAGATTTAAATAAGACACATGTTATTTCTTATGACCAATGACGTAAGGTGTTCAAATAGTGAATTCTCGGCGCCTTCTCCCAGCGCGGCCTGTTTAGCATAGTCGTTATTGCGCGGCACTTGTATTCGATCATCCGGATCATGCCGAGGTCGCTGGTTCAAATCCGGCAATGGGCTCGTTATGTGTTTTAGGTTTTCACTTTTTTTCGCCCTGTCATCTCGAGTTCTGTGGTTGACCCTGCTGTGTCTTCTTTTGTCGACCGAATAGTTCTCCGCTCGAAATTTGGAATAAGCCGTGTGGCTGCCAGCAGCTGACAAGGTGACTGAATTGCGATAAGCTTTTTTGTTTTGCTGTGTGATGACTCATGAGGAGAGTTTTTATTATTATTTTTTTTTTGATTCGTCGATCGTCGTCATGCGGTCATGAGCGACGCCCAACCGTCCGGGCTTTGCCCTCTTGGGATGATGACGATCGAAAGAGAAACCCTTCTACCCTTTCCTTGCTCAGCTGAACTTGCTTGCCCGGTGTCACTGGAACGACCACCTCAAGGAATCCAGAAGAAGGATGTTATCAAACCCAACTCAACAACAACCAACTATCAAACCATTCTTAAAGAACAACAACAACAACAGAACACCAACCCATGAAAGAGTGACCAAGACCAGTAGGATAACTGAGATGAACTCAGCCCCAAACCAACACCAACAACAACAACAAGACGAAACTAACAACATCGACAACCCATATAACGAGACACCCTCGACTGAACCATTCAACATCGACCCTGATCTCGTCCGAGTCTTAGCCAAGAACCAAGCCATCATCGCCCGTTCTCCGCCCCGCTTCGTCCTCTTCCCATCATCATCCGATCACTCCACTAAACAACAACAACAAGAAGAAGAAGAAGAACGATCATTGATCCATATCATCAGTCGTACTCAATTGGACAGATTGGGTAGATTGGCCGACTCGGAGCAGTTGTATTTCAACGAATTCAGTCGGATCATCAAGCTCAAATACGACTCCTCTTGTCTCTATCTCCAACAACGCTTGAACTTCCCCCTCCATCTTGAGAATAAGCTTAATAAGGACGGCGGGCGTGGACAGCCGGCGTTCTTTTGTGCTGATGGACGGCTCCAAGATCGCCGGGATTATCGGGTGATCAGGAACGAATGGCCGTACGCGATCCCGCGTGATTACCAGTCTGAGTCTCATCCCACCTCTCTCGGTTTTTTTTTGTCTAGAAGGATCCTCACACTGAGACTCTTCCTTTGACCCCACCACCAAAAAAAAAACAGACACATAGTGGTATGGAGTAGACTGCCCTTACTAGACCCGAGCCAAGCGCGGACGTCGGCCGAACTCAAGCAGGCCCATCACCAGGGTCTGTCGGGCTTCGAGAACCTCAGCCCAGAGCTCGTCGACCGGCTCACCCAGGCCGGCCTCAATCCCGACCTCAAACTCACCCCCTTCCCTGCCCATCATCCGGGCGTTCGGGGAGAAAGAGCTGGGTTGGACGCTCAGATTCGCGCGTTTATCAGGACTCGTTGGCCGTATTCCCGCGGATTCATCGATCTCTTGTGGTTCCTTAATCCCGTACATCTCCAATCTTGTCCCCAACTTCCTCACTTCCATGTCTTTGTCAAAAAAACTACTTAAATACTTCGTCACCAATACATCTCTCCTTCCTCCTTCTCATGTTGCCCATTCTGCATCTGATCGGCTTGTTGTATTCTTACACCGTACTCTTCGTCTCTCTCCATAATCTCAATCATCTCCTCCCGTCCACTTTTTTTTTCTTAAAAAAACAAACAAGAACAAAAAAAGGACACTTCTCTTTTTGGTTATGTCTCGATCACTGTTTGGTGTTGTTGTTGTTGTTGTTACTTGTATTACCGCCGATTTAGTTTCTTTGTATACACACATGAAGGCCGACGTCCTCCCCTCTTTTCCGCGTTCTCATCAACCCCCTCCAACCCCTCTCAACCCCTCATTTCCTCATGTCCTTCATGTTTTTGTGATGTTTTCTGATGATGATGACTGCTAACTGAACATATATACACATATATGATACTTATGTGTGCACTACTTGACATGATTCTCTTCCCTAAAAAAAAAGTAGAAGGACTTTAGGATTTGAGTTCATTGTAAAGTATATGTACAGAAGGGATTGTACTCATAACCAGGATCTGCACCATACAACTATGTGTACTCTTTAATGACCCATGTATTGCCATGATCTGATGTGAATCACCAGGAGTCTGATGTTGGTGTGGACTGGGGCAGACAATGAGGTTTGTGGAAGGATACATTGATTGGATGAATGAAGAATGAAGAAAGACGCAAAGATCAGAGAAGGACAAGAAAGAGGAAAGAAAAGAGAAAGAGAAAGAGAAAAAAAAAACAGATGGAGAGGTACCTGGGGCAGAGAAATTAGAATGAGGTCTGTGGAAGGATGAGGAGCAAGGAATCCATCCATCTACTCTGACCCAGGTATACTCTAATGAAGAATAAAAGGCGTGAAGCACACAAAGAGAGAGAGAGAAACAGAAAACACTCCTGCAACATCTGACTGAACCTTGTGCTCTCAGGATCAAGCTTAGTAATAGGGTTGGTATATTACCAAGCATGAGCTGGGGTTGACAGGGTGTGCACCTTTTCACAAGCTGTCTGGGGGTTGTGCCCACACTGGTGGGGATACCAGGATTGGTTTGTGAGACTAAAAATGAGGCAAAAAATTGGGATCTTTCCTGTTTTTTCGATATGTGTGTGTGTGTGTGTGTGTTTTTTCTTAAATTCCTTGACAATAGGGGGTATCAAATATAACCAAATCTACCATTGTTTGATTGACTGGTTTGAAAAAATCCACCCTTTTTTAAGCATGCTAGTTCTTCATTTAAGCCCTTTTGGGGCCCATTGATGTGAACAAAGTTTTTGGGAAAAGTGAATGATTTCCAATTGTGGATTTCCTATATTTGATGCCCCCCTGATACAACACAGATACAATGTATTTGTCAACTCCGGTCTCTTATGTGAATAGGTGTTGATGATGGAGGAGGAGGTTGCACTATGGCTGTTTACACAACACAGTGGATAAGGGTCTCACTATTGTTGTATATAAACAATGTAGTGGAAGACCTTAGTATCTAGAAGGGCTGTGTCTTATAATCATAAGGGACAACAGCAGTAGAACTTCACTATGCCAGGCTTTTAAGAAGAGAAGGGAAAAGGCTGTTTACTAGTCTCTAGAGCTACTAAGATTAACTTTATAGACTATTACAACAAAAATAGATCAAATAGGTTGTGATTTAGTATGAGTAACAGATTATAAAACCCCACTCACTTGTTGTGTTAATGTAAATATGTAAGGTTAGCAGGTTTGTATGGTAATCTCTGAGGGAGCAGTCCTAGGGAAAGAATCAACACCTCCTTAAGTTTCACGGAGAAGTGGTCAGACTGCTTGTGGGACCGGTGCAGTCACAGTCCCCATATCATTAGATTATTTCTTTGGGGATAAATGTCAAGATATTCAAAGAGTGATCAAAGTGCATGTGATGAAAATCTCTCTTATTTCAGGAAATACACAAGAGAGATAATCAGGACAATAAGTATTCACAAGAGAGATACACAGGATAATTCTCACTTGGATATTAACTCAAGAGATAATTTTCCTTTTCAACTTGAGTATAATTTTCAATAGTTACACACCCGGACGAATCGGAATAAGTTGGTTCGCCCGCGAGGCGCACCAGCACTACAGGCGACCCCATGCCGCAATACAGTAAATTAGTTGCGCAACCGGCGGGTGCGTGATTGCAGCGGCCTGTACACCCTCTGGGGGCGTTGCCGGCCAAGTGTATGCAACAGTTACGTGTTGGGTGCAAGCTGGGGTCGTAATGACCTGGGTTCGCCCCAGGCCGTCCTGGTGCAACGCACCCAGGCCATACCAGCACCCGAGACGGACTGCGACATGCAATTGTAACCGCCCGGGGTCGCTATACTGACTCGAGACCGGGCTCGCCATCAGTCCGCCGATAGGCGGCACTGGTCGCTCGATCGGTCAACCTTTTTCCTTTCCCAACACCCACCTGGAAAGATGTCTTTTTAGGTGGGTGTTCGAGAAAATAATCGATCTCTTTTTTTTTTTTTTTTTTGACTTGACTTGGGAAGATTTTTTTCGAAGTCGGATGAATAACTGGCTGGGGGGCGAGTCAGATACCCATGATCCTGCCTCTCCTCCATCGGTGTTCTATCCCATGAGTTTGGCGTGGGCTCCCTTGGGTTTCGGCGGTGTGAGATAATGTCGGGTTCGAGCCCGGCCTTGACCAGCTTTTTGGCTCTCCCCGACCTGGCTGTGTGACCTGTCGAGCCATAGGGCCGGTGCGCCATCATGACGCCCGGCCTTTGATGGCGGCGGTCCTCCGACTCCGTGGGCGATAACTGAGACGCACCCATACAGGGTGAGACGACCAAATCGCGGCCCAGCAACACGCAACTATGACGGGTTCCGTTTGGACGCCCGGATCGCGCGAGGCGCTTGCAGGGTCACGAGGGCGCCTCGTTAGCTGCACCCGAGGCGGCGGACCCGATCCGGTGTGTATTAGTATGTAACCCAAGAGTTTTACATTCTCTTGTAGACAACATGAGGGCTAGGGTCTCAGTGTCTGACAGTATTCAGAGAAAAACAGATACAGATTCAAAGCAATACAAATACATGTATTGTATTGGTTTCACCATTGATGGATGATAGTCAATACTGGTCCAGCCCAGAATGTGTCCCTCTTGGTTGGAGAATATAAGAAAATGGTATATTCTATGACGAATGACCTCTTATGTGGTGAGTGTGACTGACTAAACACCCTTTGATGGAATTGCTATCATCCCTGTCTCCCTGTCATAGCCTGCAAGATTTTTTGATATCAACCTATAATAATATTTTGGATGACCAAAAGGAGTCTTATAAGTAGGTGAAGGGGTCTGAAGGAAGCAGTGCTTCCCACGTGATATGTACTCCAGTTATTCTTACATCAAAACACTACCCAAGCAATCATATTCAAGGCTACTCAACTTCCGGTTTTGTTGCTGGATAATCAATGTTTTGACTGCACTTTTTCACCTTGATGGCTTACATATTCATAATCAATTTGCTTGAGCCATTTACTGTAATCTTGATATGTGAGGGCCTTCATCATATGCAAGGGTGGGCCGCTACACTAACCGTAGCGGTTAGTGTAGCGTAACGCAGCGGAATTCCCATTAGCGTTAAGTGTAGCGCAGCGGAATTCCCGTTAGCATTAAGTGTAACGCAGCGGAATTCCCGTTAGCGTTAAGTGTAGCGCAGCGGAATTCCCGTTAGCGTTAAGTGTAGTGCAGCGGAATTCCGCCATGACACCGCTAACGCTACATGTGTGGGCCGCACAAAAGGGCCCACTATGCTGCGCTACAGCACTTTTTAGCGGCTTTTGGGCTGTTTTTGCCGCTAAAAGCGCTGTAGCGCAGCGTAGTGGCACTAACAGGGCGCTTGGTGCGCTGTTTTGAGGGCCACTACGCTAATGTTAGTGGGCTGTTTAGCGAAGCGTAGCATAGCGGCCCACCGTTGCCATATGATATGATTTGTTTTTCTCAAGACTTCATAGCTCCAAAATTACCCCCACAAAGACCTTCTTTGTATCAGAATTTGTGAAAATCTGAACTCAATGACTTGGGAGAGGAGGTTTGAACAGACTCAGGGAACACTTTTGATGGGACAAAAAAAGTGTTCAGGACTCAGTGAGGAGGAGAACCGATGGTTTTTGATTTCTTGTACTAGGCTAGGTTAAAATAGACTAGGTACAAGAGTTTGAGTTGTGGTTGTGAACCAGATGAATAAAAAAGAAAATGAATAGAAATAAAAAGAACAATCAAGAGAGAACAAGAGGGTACGACAACCAACACCAGGAATGGAGTATCTCCAACCAAGAAGATAAGCAAACATTACTGAGAGAAAATAAGCCCTCCTTGATCAGGGTTCTATGACTACAAGTCAGGGGGTCAGATTTCATAACAAAATGATGAGACACACTATAATGGGGGAGATCTCATAACAGTGAAGGAGTAGATCCAAGTGATCACTAAGATTGAGATTGAGGCAGAAGTAAGAAAAGTAGAAGAAAGGTAGGGAACAGAGAGGAAATTCCAACAGAATTGAATGATTTCAACAACATACCCCTCATGCCCTGCTTTTCAGTTTTTTTTTCATATAACAAAGACAAATCATAACTGAAGCCTCATAGTACATTTCCATACTTTGAATGTATCTTTTGTTATATTTTTCTACTTACAATATAGTCAGGTTGCTAATTCAGCCCTAAAAATCTGAGACTCATTCCAAGAAAAGTAGAGATGAAAAACAGAAATCACCACATTTATGAGGCAGTTCATGATCCAGCCAAGTGATTTCTGGTTTCTAAAAAGGTTTGCTGTGTATGCACAGTTGCCTGTCAAGTTTGACCATGAGATGTTTTGTCTGAAGGGTAACTCCCCTGAAATATTTGACACTTTCCTGGCAAATCCGCAGGATCACACTGAAAGAAAAAGTCAGGCAACTGTGTGCAGTTGACATGTGATATTACAAAGGCACCTTTGCAATATTTCACATGTCAACTACACACAGTTGCCTGAATTTTTCTTCCAGTGGTAGTGTCCATAAGGTTTGGTTGCCAATTATGAAACCAGTGGCACATGAACTGCTTGATCATTGAATGGAATTGATTATCTGAAAAAAAACAGTGGGCCTACATCTCAGCAAAAGCTCTTGGAAAACTGTTTCACTCAAAGGGGGCTTCCTCAGCCTAACTATCCTACAAGAACAGCCTTGTAGGAGCACCAAAAAAGTGGGCAGATCAAGCCCAAAACAGTCAATACATATCTCACTTCTCCTTTTCAGACATTCCAAATTCTACCAAAGAAACTGTGTGTAACAATCCATTAACCACTAAATATCTGTTAGACCAAAGCATGTGCACAAAAGGCAAAATCACATTGGCATTTCCTGCTCTGGAGAATGTCAATTCATGGATGCTATGTAGCACCCCCATGGCATTGATCAGATTTTGACCCTAAAAAGTGCAGGGATTTCCTACGTATGCAATGTTTCTCCTCTTCCTCCACTCAATGAACTCACCCCTGCGATTGCATTCCCATGTGACCTCAAGCAAGCAAGGATCAAGAGAGTCGTCATTTGCACCAATACTGATGAATTTCTTTGATCTTTGAGCACAACAACGTCGAACAAGTTTCAAATCCGCAGGGACTGTCCACACGTCATTATGAGCGGGGGTTTTTTTTTGTACCTTGGCATGGATTTCCTGGATCAATACATAACACGTGTCTACATAATCGTCATTATCGACTTTCGAGCAAAATGACTCATTGTAGAGGGCCCTGAACTTCGGTTCCGAATCGGATTCTCGGATGGTGTCAATGAGATACAGATTGGTGATGGCCTGTAAATCGGTGTCAGATGATCTGAGGAGTATGTAAGGTGACCGGGGTCCGGGCCCTCCTGCAAAGAAACCCCTTATCAATTGTACTGTAAGTTATCGCTTCAAGATCCCGGAGTCACAGTGACTCCCCTATTGTAGTGAATGTTTCGACGAGAGAACATGCACATTGGGGAGATAACCCTCAACATACAGAGTGTGTAAATCTATCTATACATAAGCTGGAGATCAGATTAAAGAGCAGACATTTGTTTCGCGAGGCTCTCTCGTGCACTGATCTGACTTGCCGGCTGGTACAAACGGCAGTATTACTGGGTGCGTTACAGATGCATGCGGGGTTCTGATCAAGACCTTCCCTAGCCTTTCCTTCATCAGGAGACCCATAGATCCGGTGCAGCCGGCTCCAACCAATGGCGCAGGAACATGTCAAGCCAAGCCAAGCCGGGAGAAGCTTACAAGCGGCGTAAAAGAAAATTGTCTGAGGATCATAATTTGTATCTCCGGGCCAGTCGAGCCATTCACGAGATTACAATCCTTGACAAGGATGTCTCGTCCATACAATCTCAATGATGTCATCATGCCACCGCTCTGTGTAGGCATTTAGGGGCAAGGTCAGAGCGGGTGAGTGCATCCGCAAATGGCCAGTCCCTCTTTGCATCCGAATCTGAGTTATTTGGGGGTGTTTTACTGAGAACAATGGTCAGCGGTGGCCTCGGATGGCGCGCCGCATGGCTTCAGGCCATATGAGGAGGGAAATCTTGTCAGGCTCGGCTCACCCGGGTTTTCGCACGCGGCACCTCATTCACCAGTCCAAATCTTCCAAAATGATGACGTCGCCTACACCCGAGAACGGCGCAATCAGAGAATTATGTCGCCTCGAGCTCATTCGGAGCTTTAATTGGTCACAATTCTCCACTACAAATTACGGTTCCTGCTGCCAAGACTTTTTCCACATTTGAGTTGAACATGTATCCACATTGATTGTTGTTTGTCCAGATTGATGATCGTGTGCACCGCATCGCCCGCTAAATCTTAGGTAGGTTCCATCCTCGGTCGTACCCCCGGCGATGAAAAACTCTTGGCATCTACATACAACGATTCCAAATCCAGTCAGAAACTGCTAAGCGGTTTGCATGGTCATCGTTGATCCGTTTGGGTGCGGGTGGCTCTAGCGAGTGGATGACGGGCGCTTGGGTGCTCTTTTCGGATCGCAAAGTGCTCGGCCCAGCTTGCTTCACATACATCCATAGCTTCTCATATATGAAAGATGTACGTAGTCTGTGTGGGTGATCACCAGCATTCAGGGCACCTCGAGAGAGAGGGGGCATGTCGTATTTGAGGCACAAGCTTGAACATTTGCTTGCAGCCTCGTTGCAAGAAATGTATATTCAGATTGAGAGTACCTTATGGGGCTACAACTAAAATCCACACGATCGAGCATGCTAGAGACGTGTGCAAAGGATTACATAGTGTCTATGTTAATCCGTATACATAGTAGGGTCCTCCGCCCATCTCGGCCTGGTGACTGGTCTGCAAAATGTCGTTTGTGCTGGAGCTTGAAGCAGTCCTCTTTCTCGATTGAAATTATTTACTTCATCAAGTGCAGAAACATTCCAGACTATCTTGGGGGCGAGGTATGTGCGCCGAGGAATCCGAGCTGGGCTTCATCTTCAGCCCGGCCCTGCTGGAGAACTTGGCGGCTTGGATTCTGCATTGGGCACCTTTTAGCATGGAAACTATCTGGTCCAAGTACGATTTGCTGTTGCCTTGGTTAAGCTGTTTCTGCCAAGAGAAGCTCGAAGATCCTCTAATTGAGGCCCATGGCAGCAGCACTGGGCTGATCCATCGTAACCACCCGCCGATCATCCAATAATGAAGCGGTGTCAATGGTCGTTGCAAGTTGACCCCGGAGCGCCACATCCGGCTGGTGCTTCCCCTCCCCACCCCCTTGCAGAATTCCACGAAGGCAGTCCAGCCAGATTGAAGGTTGCCGTGCGTTGCTTGGGTGCACACAGAAGTGCATCATCATCATCACCATCACCATCATCATCCAGCAGTGCCCTCCCGTGGCAAGCTCGCGAAGGAAACTAGCTCCGGGGAATCTTTTCTCTTGGCAGTACACATACATAGCGGATGATTTGGGATGAGAAGAAATTCAGGATGTCAAACTTGTTGTGTTTTATGATACGTATCTAAGATAAATAAATAAAGAAGTAAAAAGTCCGGCGATACAAGGAAGAGTATGTAAAAAAGCGTGGTGTTTGAAGGGTGCGTAACAGAGTATGTATGCGTGCGCTGAGACAAAGAAGCTGTCTTTGATTAGCTTTGATTCTTGAAGTTTCAAAATGTCAGTTGTGTATTGGCCCGCCAAGACAATCGATGGGCCATAAGTCGATAGTATGCATGCATCCTGGTTGGTGATGTACCTGTTAACTGGGCCAAGCTGAAAGCCAAGCAGGTGAGTCGAGTTGGGCCGGAGCGTGAGATTGTATTAGGTACACTCCGAAAAAAAAAACAGCCCAGTGGCAAGTCGATGGCCCAAACAGACACTGGACGCTGGAAGGTCAGGCTGGAGCTTATAACCCCCTCGCTCGGCTCCATCAAACTATTCTCCTTCAGAGCCATCTTCTTCCTCAGACCTCCCTGAGACTCGCTCCAGCAACAGTACATTGTAGTTCCAGCTCACGGTTTTACCCAAAGTTCCCACCCGTTGTTTCCCTATTCGATTCTCATCCCGCTTATACATCTTCGTCGAAGGCCCATCAGGATCAAGTAGTGTGGGCCAGCTCAGGCTTGCTGAAACAGCGTCCCCCCCTCCCCCTCCCCTTTGCGATATACCTTCGTCCTTATCGTAGTCCTTAGCAGTCTTTATTTAAAGTCCAGTCCTACTCCCAACTTTCCCGCCCCCCCTCCGTGGATAATTCTCTCCTCCCATTCCTTCCCACCTTAAAACTTTCTATAATTTTATCATAAAGACTTTCCTCCTCAACAGCTGCTTCACTACGTCACCCATCTACTCTGTCGCCCGGCACCGGTGACAACGAGTATATTAATCTAGCTGCTCCCTCCATCATCGCCCTCTTCCCCTCCTCATTTCATTTTTATTCCCTTGTCAATTCAGCCTTTTATTCAACTGCGTGTAATCATCCAGTTTTCCATAGTTACCCCCAATCCCTAGCTCTCCATTTATCTACCGTCGATTTTTCTCTTCCTTGGAGCATCCTCTCTTTACTCTGTTACCCCCATCCACCGAAACCTAATCATATTTATATCTCACCATCCACAAAGTTCAATCACCCCACCTCCCCCATTAACTACTACCACTTCATTCATCCAACCCTTGCAATATGTCCGTAAAACAAGGATCTGATCCGGTCCAGAAAAAGAATTTCGACAAAACCTTTGAGGATGAAACCAAAGCCACAAACGCGCTTGTCGACATTGGCACTATTCAACTGACCGCCGAGGACCTGTATGACAAGGACAAAGTGGACCTCGAACAAGTGCACCTCGAGGATGTTTGGAAATTACTTCAGTCAGTCTCTTGTTCATCTGGTTGAACTGCTTTCTTCTCCCCGGAGATATTTACCCCTCCTCCAATTTTCCAGAACAACTGAAGAAGGCTTGACACCAAGTGAAGTCCAAAGACGTTTGGAAATCTTCGGCCCTAACAAGTTGGAAAGCAAGGATGTGAATCCGCTTCTCCTATTCTTGAGTTTCATGTGGAATCCCCTCTCATGGGTCATGGAGGGAGCTGCCCTTGTTGCTATCGGACTCTCCAACGGCCAAGGCCGACCCCCGGACTGGCAAGATTTCCTCGGTATCGTCTTACTCTTGTTCATCGTAAGTTACTCCTGCCTCGGACACCAAGACTGGCAGAATTCTGACTTTCTATCTTGATCACAGAACGCTGGTATTGGATTCTACGAAGAAAGATCTGCCGGAAATGCCGTCAAGGCATTGATGGACTCGTTGGCCCCTAAGGCTAAGGTTAGACGTGCCGGACAATGGTCTGAAATTGACTCTGCCGACCTTGTACCTGGTGACATTGTGGCCTTCAAGGTTAGTTATCGCCTGTCTTGCCTTTGCGCTGTACCATGATGACTACTGACACCGCTGCACATTCCCACAGATTGGAGACGTTGTCCCCTCAGATTGTCGACTGTACGATGCCATCAACGTTTCGATTGACCAAGCCGCCCTTACTGGAGAATCCCTACCTTCTACCAAGCATGTCGGAGACCAATGTTTCTCTGGTTCCACCTGTAAACAAGGAGAAGCTGAGGGTGTCGTCATTGCCACTGGTCCCAATACTTTCTTCGGTCGTGCCGCTACTCTGGTAGGAGCGGACAACGATTCCACCGGACACATGCAAGCCGTGCTTGCTAAAGTCAGTACCCTTGATCCCTCTCGAATCCCTTCTTCTGAAGATACTTATTATTTCATTCTTCATTGCAGATTGGTACATTTTGTTTAGTTTCTATCGGTATTTTCGTAGTTTTGGGTAAGCTTGCACTTCTGCGCCTCGAATAATTGTACATTGTCGCTAACTTATACTCCTCTTGCAGAAATCGTCATTCTCTACGGAGCTTTCCGATATCAATACCGTCGAGGTATTGACAACATTCTTGTCTTGCTTATTGGTGGTATTCCAATTGCTATGCCTACTGTGTTGTCTGTCACTCTCGCTGTCGGAGCTCAACAACTTGCCAAATACAAGGCCATTGTCACCCGTATCACTGCCATTGAAGAGTTGGCTGGTGTTACCATCCTCTGTTCTGACAAGACCGGTACCCTGACCACCAACAAGCTCACCATCGACAAATCCACCGTCAAGACTTACGCTGACTTCAGCGCCGACGAAGTGTGTGTTCTTGCCGCCTACGCCTCCCGAACTGAGAACCAGGACGCCATCGATACTTGCGTTGTCGGAAACGTCGGGACTGAAATCGCTCGTCGAGGCATCCAATTGCTTGACTTCAAGCCTTTCAACCCCGTCGACAAGCGTACCGAAATCACTTACATTGACACCGCCTCCGGACAGATGCGTCGTGTGACCAAGGGAATGACCGGTGTCATCATCGATCTTTGCACCCACAACAAGACTGAAGCCCTCGAGACCCGCCTAGAGAACGATGTTGAAGAGTTTGCCCGTCGTGGTCTTCGTGCCTTGGCTGTTGCTTACGAGGATGTGCCCAATGCCCAAGTTGATGGCCCCGGAAGCGGCTTCGAGCTTATCGGATTATTGTCTATCTTCGACCCTCCCCGTGACGACACCAAGCAAACCATTGACGATGCACAAGCTCTTGGTGTTAAGGTTAAGATGGTAACTGGTGATCAACTTGCTATTGCCAAAGAAACCGGTCGTCGTCTCGGAATGGGTGACCACATGTACCCCTCGAAAGTCTTGAAAGATGGCCCCGAACCCGGAGGCAAATTCGCTACCCTTGATGAGATGATTCTTGGTAAGTTTCACCTTGAAGCTCTTTTTTGGAGGAGCCAATTGGCTAACCAGCCAATCTTACTTCACAGATGCCGATGGATTTGCTGGTGTCTTCCCCGAACACAAGTACGAAATTGTTAAGAGGTTGCAAGGCTTGGGACATTTGTGTGCCATGAGTAAGTCATCATTCCCCTTCCATCTCAGGCTTTGATTTCGACCTAACGGTTGCACTTTGTATCAGCTGGTGACGGTGCCAACGATGCTCCCGCCCTTGCCCGTGCCAACGTCGGTATTGCTGTTGAGGGTGCCACTGACGCCGCTCGTGGTGCCGCCGACATTGTCCTCACTGAACCCGGTCTTTCGACCATCGTCCACGCCATCCGTCAATCACGTATCGTTTTCCAACGTATGCGAAACTACTCCATCTACGCTTGTGCTGTCACAATCCGTATTGTCGTCGGTTTTGCTGTCATGGCCTTCGCTTTCAAGTTTGATTTCCCTCCTTTCATGGTCTTGGTCATTGCCCTCCTCAACGATGGTACCATCATGACTCTTTCGCTTGACCGGGTCTTGCCCAGTCAGAGCCCTGACCACTGGGATCTTACTGAAATCTGTGAGTACCATTTATTCCCCGCTGTTGCGACCAGAATACTGACGCTTCTGTCATTCAGTCACATACGCTATGGGTTACGGATTGTGCCTTGCCTTGTCTACCATCGTTTTGTTGGCTGTCATCATCCACACCTCGTTCTTCGAGGACCGATTCGGTACTGAAGCTCTCAAGGACCAAAACGATCCTCGTAAGTCTATGGCCTTTTTGCCACATAATTGACTTCATTGAGGCTGATTCAATGTTTGCTTCAACAGGTGTCCATATGATTATCTACCTACAAGTCGCCATCATTTCGCAAGCTTTGATCTTTGTCACTCGATCCCACGGATGGTTCTTTATGGAGCGCCCTTCAGCTGCTCTGTTTGGTGCTTTCATTGTCGCCCAGTTGATCTCTTCCATCATTGCTGCCTTCGGTAACTGGTCTTTCACTGACGTTGAGGGTATCTCCGGAACATGGATTGGTATTGTCTGGGTCTGGAACATCATCTGGTTCTTGCCTCTTGGTTAGTCCCTTATCATTTCACTTGCATACCTCAGCAAACATCTGACTCTCCCTACCCTTATCTTCAGACCTTGTCAAATTTGGAATGCGAGCTGTCATCCGCATGTTCAAGCCACCAGTTGCCCTTAACAAGCCAATCCCTGCTAACCAACTCCAGCGCACACCTTCGCGAGCTGCCTCCATCAACGAGTCACTCTACTCCAACCGTGCCAGCTTCATCCAACGGGCTAACCGCAGCTCGGTTCTCAGAGGCCGTGTCCACGCTGACGAACGTGAACTCCGACGGTTAGTCATGTTCATCTCCCTCTAGAAGAGACCAATATCATGCTAAAACTACCTGTCTTTTTTCACAGATTTTCTTCGGCTCAAGCTGTCTCCTCAGGAGCTGCCCTCAGCAGAGCCTAGTGATAGACCGATAATTCACTGCCTTTTTCCAACAGTAGGGAGGGATAAGGGAGAACTTCTTGGGTGCAATTTTGTGGTTACTCTTTTAACGACTTGTGATCACCTGAGAGGGCTTGGGAGTCTGTAGCTTTTTTTTGAAACCCTTGCATCTGCTATCGTATTGATCGTCTACTTGTATCATTTTGCTTGATCCGTTGTTCCTCTTCGTTTTCCTTGTCATTCATTCGATCATGCGAGCCCTCACTTGCAAAGACTTCGTTTTGAACATCCTTTTTTCTCCTTTCTACCCCGTTATCTTACCTTTACTTTAATTCTTAACATGTTTACTTCCCATTAGACTGTTTCTACTTTCTCCCTTTTTTTTCTCTGCTTTTTGCTAGCCCTCTACATATTCTATTCTTTTCGTTTGATTTCGACCATCTTACACATGTTTGGAATAGCAGCCACGAAATCTTTCGAACAAAAAAAATCAACATATATGCACCTGTAAATAACCATCCTTGGTCGTACATTTTCACACATCATTTTCGGTCGTACATTTTCTTTTCGAACTTTTCTCTTTCATATTCTCAATCACACCTATTTTAACCACCACTGTGAACTTCGTGAGCATTCATTGACACTTTCGTCGATCGTAATTTGAGGAACCGCAGACAAACTTGTGAGCACCGAAGCTGGTATCTCTAGCATGTAGTTGAATTATTTTAAGAATTGTTTTCGGGAGTTCAGCCCAAAATCTGTTTACGGTATACCTTTACATAGGGCCCAGGATTAGCAAGAATATTCCCAATAATTTCAACTCATCTCCGACTTCACAAACATGAGCTAGATTCCCGGCCTCCAAAAAAAAATCCGTGGGGGGCATGTGCGAACCCACATTTATGGTGTACCTTTTAACTGTCTTTGCAGCGCCATTTGATCACTTTCTTCCGTCTGGTATCCACTGTGCACCTGACACAGTGAAGTAACAAGACACTGGTCCCAAGTTGCAAGTGAGGCATCCGTCCTGACTCCGGAAGAACACACACCTGCATACGTCACATGTCCATTCCTTACCGGAGACAATGCCAGGACAGGCTGATGTCTCGGAGCTTTGTGAGGTGAGTAATGAACAGCCCCGTCCAGTGTTATGTGAAGAAACGGAGAGAGTCCTCTGACCCTTGTAAGCTGCTTGGTAGCCCTCTCTTGGACAATTGAAACATGTCAGGTTTTCGTTCCCTTTTCGGACCCGTTTGACGGCCGCATAATGGCCCAGCACGGGGGCCATCATCACGTCCAAGATGACTACCATGCTGATTAGGGTAGCAAGCGGGTCCATGTGGACGTGCATCGGAGTGCAGTTGGATGTGGTTTGCAACAGGCAGGAGTCGAGCTTCAGACTTCTTGGGCGTTCAAGGATCAAATACGGTGGGCTCTTGAAGTGGGCTGTTAACCACTGTGCCAGCAAGGTGTGGCAGGAAGCAGATTTATCATAGATTTTAAGCAGGAAGTGTGCGTAGTGCATGTTGTTGTGCGTAGTGCATGTTGTTGTGCGTATTTTGATGAGTGGACTTCTAAAATCCAATTCTCACCAAGAAAGACAGATAGTACCACCATACCTGCTTCTGCCAGTACTAAGGCAGCATTGGTCAGTTGCAATACCATCCTTATCCTAACTAACATTTCTCACCTAGAAAAAACAACAGCAGGAATGACAAGTCTTTCTGTGTCAATCAGCTTGAAAAGTCCGTGCCACTTGGGTGGCTGTTGGTTTAACAAAGTTGTGAAACTTCATTTTCTTCTCTTTCTTTCAAGATTTCAGACCATAGTCATAAGCAAGAGGTTGTTCTTTTATATATCACCAGAACCCATGTTTTGAGTGAAGGAATATTTGTAGAAAATTCACAGCAACCAATCGTTCATCACCCAATACCACCAGACAAATATTGAAGAAGGGGAACTATTGAGATCAGGAAGTTAGCTCTTACATATGCATCCTGATAAATTTGGCCAATGGGGCAGGGGTGACATTTGGCAACAACATAATTCCATGGAAGGCTTGAAATTGACCAAAGTCAACCTGTATTTATGGTCTTCTGAAGGAGATGATGCAGACTTTTGGTAACAAATGCAACACAACATGCTTTTTTCAGGTCAAAACCAGTTGGAAAACCAACATCCTTCCCAACTTAGAGCATCTCCAATGGTCTGGGGGTGGATTGGCTTGCCTCTGGCAGCCTGGAGTCAAATGTCCCAAAGTGTCCCAATCTGTCACAGTTGTGCCAAATGCGGACTGTCAAGTTGAGCAGGGGTGGGAGAAACACTGCCAAAGCTGCTAAACTCAGCAGCCAAGGGCAGCTTTGGTCCACCCCTGCAATGTTCAGCAGCTTGCTTGGCAGCTCCACTAGTGGCCAAAGGAGCCATGCAGCCCGCTGAAGTTGGTCCCAGGTCCCACATCAGCAGGACTGTTAGAGATGCTCCTAATGGACTTCCTTTTGGGCTGGAAGGCCATGTAATCCTTCAAGTCAAGTGAACATGCCATAAATTCATGTGGCTTCAACTGTATCTCCAGTAGATCTCTATGAATCTGTCTTGGCCTGATATTTCAATTCAATTCATGTGTTCTGAAGTAGTCACTCTTGATGTATGCACATTTAAGGTCATCAGTTATGAAGAAATGAAAGATAGAAAGAGCTAGCAATTAGCTTGATAAGTAGTTAAACTTTAGCAGCTTCTCTGGGCTAAAAATGTGGCCTTTTAGTGCAGCACAGCAGTTGCACCATTATTTCCCCAAGCCTGATATTTTTAGCTGCCATAAAAAGCACTACAGCCACCACTAAATTTAGCACAGCACCACTTTTTTCGTGGGGTGTGTTGGCAGAGCACCAATAAATGTGCTAAAGCTGCACAATAGGACAGCTGTAGTGCTTTTGTGTTAAATATCTGCATTCTGCTACCTTGCCACTGACATCTCACTGGCTGAGAGTCAACTTGTATTCATACCCCAAGTTTGTGGCCAGGCTTTGTATCAACCCAACTTCTGTTGCTAATTCTCTGTTTTTTTCCCTGGGGGGGGGGGAGGTTCCCCCTGTGTTTATACTTTACCTCTGAACTACCACTTAATCAGTGGATAAAAGCTACACAAGCACTAAATCAGCAGATAAAAAGTAGACAACAGCTAAATTATCAGATAAAAGATACACAACCACTAAACTGGTGGATAAGAGCTACCAGTGATGGGCCACTACACTAAACTCCACTAAACAGGCCACTGCTGTTAGCATAGAAGCCCTTAAAACACCACACCAGCCCTGTAGCTTTAACCTGATGTTAGTGCCGCTATGCTGTACTACAGCACTTTTAGGGGAAAAAAATACCAAAAGTTCATGCATAACAGGCCTTTTTTTGTGGCCTATGCATCAAGTGTTGCTACAGATTTGGCAGAATTCCACTGTGCTACACTGAATTATATCAGGATTCCACCATGTTATGCTGCACTAATGCTACCCTTAGTATAACTGGCCAATTGTTGGGGCTAAACTTGTCATAGTTGGGATGCTTACGGGTGTTGCACCTAGAATCTAAAGTTGTGACCTGCTAGAATTAGTAGGAGGGAGGATCAAAGATGTTGATGTTGCCATTAACAGAGGACTATGGCACAGCTCAGGGATTTCTAAATGAGGCTTGCAGGGGTATTCTTGAAGCAAGATGCCAGGGCAACCAAGCTCAAGTAATCTCCGAGTTGGGATTGGGTCAACCTTTCAGGTTAAAAGTCAAGGGAATTTGGAACAATTGTAGGAGTTGTGAGGAGGGTGTAAGTAAGGTGTGATACTGTAGTAGCAAGGGCAAAGAAGATAATTTTTAGATTGTGAAAGCCTATGAAATAATGTATCTGCTAATGACTGTTAATGTAGTTGGTGCATAAGAGTTTGGGATAGTGCCAACTAAATGATGTCTAATATTAGGGTTTAATCACACTGGGGGATTGTTCTTCTCAGGAAGAGCTTTCTTTAAATATCACCTACAGCTCTGGACAGTTTCTGGTTGCACAAATATTTGGGCACCCAGGACAAGGAATAAAAAGGAGATAGTAGATAAGTCAAACAACAATTGGGGTATATAACATGTTGTGTCACATCATCTCTACCTGTGCCACAGTATTTCATCTTTGATTCAATATTGATTTTGCACCTGTGAGTTATCTTGTGTATTTTGAGGGCCTTGGGAAAAACGACTCCCGTTTTTTCGCCAACAACTCCCAACAACCATCATCGGACGTCCGTTGGGAGTCGTCTTCTAAAGTCTGGGCAAATTTTGGGAGTCTTCTGCCCAATTTCATTTTTATTTATTTTTAATATTTTTTTTGGGAGTCGGCTCCCCAAACCACCCCTCATGCATGGGCCATTTGGGAGTCGCTCCCACTTGACCGGAAGGAACCCCTTCCGGTCAATGAGAAACCTATACCTTGTCGACCAGAAGGGATT